ACTGGGGATGTCAAATCCATTTGAGTTCTGTGCTCCACAGTACCCAGTGCGATCCTGCACCCTGCAGGTCTGGGCTGAAATAGAGCTGGGCCAATCTGCTATTCCTGCAGCCAGGGCAGAGAGTGATCACTGACCTCAGAACAGGGTGCCTTTGTAGAACATGAATGATTGGAACCGAGGCCTGCAGGGTTTATCAGTAATATGGACCTGACAGGGAACTCCTGGGGGCTGTGGCTCGGACCCATTACGTGCTCAGACTGCTTTATCTTCATTCCAGTCGCTGTTAGGAGGTTGACCCAGCTGAGAAAAGAACATTCATGGCACACAGACTCTAATGCACTGACATGCATTTTGAGGCAGGAAACACCATTATATTAAATAGGATTCATGGGCGAACTCCTCCCGGCACTGAAGTTAAGCTCAAGGCTTTGGTTTGTGTCAGACATGAAAGAGAAACGTGCCCGTCGTCCACTCTTGGAATATTTGAGCAATAGCGTCTTTGTTTCAGATCTCCAGCACGTTTCAGTTTTAGAATCAACTGAAGCCGATCTCTCTCTTTAACACAGATGTGTCATGTCTTCACACCCAACAGAGCGCAGGCAGTGCGTACTGGTGAGCTGGAAACTGTAATGTAATAGTGGCTGCCTTCATTATCATTCAATGTAGGACACGGTTGAAACAATCTTGTTTTACATCGCTTGGGTCTGAATGACCTCTTACCTATCTTAACTGATGCCAAAGAAGATGCTGTTAGTGAATATAGTTTGGTTTCGAATGTGATTCTTTTTCCTTGCGCTTTCCCAGACTGTCTTCCCTGTCCAACGTTCAGTGAAGGGACAGACAAAGGCTCTAGCACCCCAGCTTAAAAAACAAAGTCAGCAGCAGTACCAAGAGTTTTCCATTAACTCCACACAAGTTGGGAGCATTGTGTGGAGATTGTGTGTTCTCCCCGTGTTTGTGTGGGTTTCCTCTGGGGGCCCCAGTTTCCTCCCGCAGTCCAGGGACTGGTAGGTCAGTTGGCGTGTGTGAAAACTGGCCCAGGTGTGAGTGTGTGCGTGGTTATGTCTGTGTGCACCTCAATGGACTGGTGTCTCATCCAGGGTGTATCCTGCCTTTCGCCCATTGCTTGCCAGGTTAGGCTCTGGCTCCCCTGAACCCTTGTATTGGATAAAGTGGTAAGTACGTACTATAGATGGATGGATGTTGGGAGCAGGTGCGCCATTTTCTGTGACCTCCCCAGGAGGGGTGCGTTCTGAAACACAGTTCTGGTCATGCCGGTTGTGACCCAGAATGGCTGTCAACAATCAGGAGGGGGCCTAGCTGGCGAGGTGAACTCAGCTTCAGAGGCAGCAACGCAGTCTGTAGTGATTGTGCATGGTGGACAGAAACTGGAATAATTAGCTGCTGTGATTCAGGTTCAATGTTTAATTAGGAGATGGAGGAAATTCAAAATAACGCTGCCAAACGTCGGCCATAACTTTTACATTCTCATGTCTTGGCGTCCTGGTCTGTTACTTTTCTTTACAATGTTAACAACAACATACTAACAACTGGTTAGCGATGACATGATAAGAAATGATGCGATCTGTAACTACCGACAAACCCACAAAGTCCCGAGCAACCGCACTGAATGCTTGAGAGCATTAGGAAGCCACACCTCTGGACATCCCCTTTGATTCACAGAAAAAACAGCCTGAGCAAGTATAAAGGTTGACATGTTACCTTGCCAGGCCCTTCCAAACGATCTGTGTTTTGCTGTTGTTGGCATGCCCCATACAAAGGACCTGCTGGTTCTGATCATGCCTTGACGGACACTCCACCAAATCTGCAGTGCTTCCTGGGATTTCAGGAGACCCATGTGACTCTGGCTTCAGATTCCCAGTACTGGACACCTTCATTATGAAAACAGCATCAGACTGTCAGTATATTTGATTGTGTTTCAATTAAGAATAAGCTTCAGAATGGATAAAAGAGTAATGCAAGTTCATTAGTGTTGCCAGGCACTGCTGGAAAGAGCCCAGGAATTCTAAGCAAGGTAACAGAGAGTGAGACACAGAATCGACCTTCTTCATTTATATCAACTGCATGCTAATTATACGAGTGCAAAATTCCTCTCAGCTGATGCCCTCTGCTGAGGGGGTAAAGACATCTTGTCCTGACTGTAGGGAATTTGCTTGCAGGGTGTTCTCATTGAATTAAAAGAGAAGAATAGAATGTATCTGAGCAGAAAGCAGGAGAACAGAGTGCGCCTTCATTAGAAGGTTTAGCATGCACAAAGCTTAGCTCTCCTTCTTTTGCTCAGAACTGCATAAGAACCTGGATCGGTTTTGTCATGAAAGACCCAGAGATCCTAAGAGCAGCAGCTTGCTAAATGATTACAAACAGGCCTGGGCCCATCCCTGCCTGCTTTATCTCACTGTCATCACAATGGACAAACAACAAGAGAGATAATAAAGTGCTTCAGAATTCCCATCCACCAGCTCCTTATGGACTCCTTATCGTCCTGCAGGCCTTGTGGGTGTTGTTGAGCATTTTCTGCAGGGGTGAGTGTATAGTTGTGATGTGAGGAGCTGGCTGGGAGGCCACATTTCGTGAAGCTTCACTCAGGGTACCAGGTTCAATAGCATTCTTCAGGTCATGCTTGGTAGTTATTGAGTGACCTCTGACCTCTGATCTTATGAAAAGGCTGGGTGCAAAACATCAGAGCTGTCTGACATTCTTCTATTGATTTTGCCTTTAATAACTTGTCGCAGAAAGCATTCACAATAAAACGCAGCTTTCCTTAGAAGTTCTCTCTGTCTGATAATGGCGGATTGTATCTTGAACCTAAAGAAAATTAATTCCCACAGTGCTGCTTCTGTTACACCACAAATATTGCAAGTTATCCATTTTCATTGCAGACTCCACGATACAGGTTGGATATTATTGGTATTTAACTGAGTTTGCAGCTAATTAATCTTTTGCAGTGAGGGTTTTAGGTAGAAATGAGATAAGTCTATGTGTTTTCCAATTGTTTGGTGTTAGTTTTGTTGCTTGTGTTTTAATCCTACAAGAACAAGGTTTTATATTTAAACAGAGGTAAAGACATTTACAAGTGAATCATGAGGATGTTAAATACAATCCCTGGAGAAAGGCAGGGTCTTCTGATTTTCTTTTCATCTTAACATCTAAATTAATTGAATTTGGTTATTGGATTAAAAAGACCTATTCATTTTTGCAAGGACTTTTACATTTGTGATTTTATTAATGTGTACCTGATTCAGAGTACAGTGGCCATACTGGTCTTAACTATAATAATGGTTAATAAAATAAAACTCAAAATAATGGTTTCAACTTTAGACAAAATACCCAAACAAGCACCTGGTCTGGGTGCCCTGTGAGACACCAGACCCTGCAGGGCCTCCAGGGACTAATCTTGACTCTCCCTACTGAAATCAGTCATCAGATGTGTTGTGGACGCCTGTGTGCTAAGCAGCTAGATGCTTTGACTTTAAAGTGCTCCAGTGCCACTTTATCAGATTTAAGTAAGTGCATTTGCTTCAGAGCTGGTAAGGGTTTTTTAATCTTTAATTAGATGATTGAAGGACATCAGAAAGGCCACAGATGAGTAGAGGTTATTCCGGTCTTCATGATCACTTGGTCTTTTTTTCTCTGTAGCCACACAGCCACTGCAGGATTATGAGAAACTGGCTCATCAGTAATGAAATCCTTTCAAACCCCACTCCGGATAGAGATCTAGTGCTCTCAATCATGCTACCTAACCCATATGTCTTAGTGAGAGGGCACTGGAGTACCTAGAGAGAAAAAAAACCATGCAGACCAGAGAGCATGCAAGCTCCACACAGACAGCTGAATCTGGAATCCAACCCCAGAGCCTGTTGCTGTGAGCCAGTAGTGATGACCACCATGTCACCATGCCTCCCCGGTCAGCTGGCATGACTTGAGCATCAGCTCTTTGAAACAAACCTTGATTGGAAAGCCAGTTTTTTCCTCCACCTTTTGCCTTCTCTCTCTGCCACAGGGTGTTTGTGAACAGAAGCCTGACTCTGGAGAAAATCAATTGCTATGGCTTTGACATGGACTACACTCTGGCAAGTAAGCACTTGTGCATGGTTTGTCTGATGCCAGGACCTGTGGCTTTAAACAGGTGCTTAGTGAAAACCTGTTTAGGGTCTTACTGTTGTTCAAGTGTGCAATTACAGAGCAGACAAGAAGACAAGACAGACAATAGCATCAGATCATTAAATAAGATATTTTTTCTAAACCAGATTCCCATTATACAGTTTTTTTTTCTCGCTTGTGTTTGTATTATTGTTTTTTTCCAGGATCTAGTTACTCAATTCTTTTTTTAAGTGTACATGGCTTTGGGAAAAAAATGCATATACAGTACTGTACATGATACATTTTGGGTAAAAAGAAACCATCGGTGAAATTCTGTTAGGGCTATTTCAGCAAAATTAAAACCCAGTAGGTAAGCATGTTTCAGTGACATCATGTCCCAAAAGATTTTTTTTAAAAAGCTGTGTCAATGTTTTTAATTTAATGATGCAATTCCAATATTTATCTAATATAAATTAGGAGCATCAAAATAAGATTCACCACATGTTTTTTTGTTTTTTATTTGCAAGGTTTGTGTGACGTTCCTATTTTTGGATGTTTCGTATAGAAAACCATGCTAATGTCATAACAGAATGTTGTAACTCTCAATTAAACTATGGTGATATGGTAGGATAAGAAAAAATAAAAAAAAGGAAAGTAAAGTAAAATAGTGCATAAATTGTGATGAAAACTGCAGTGAAATTATAATTCTCCATGGTTATCTGCTGTTGTAATGTACAAACCTATACTGAAAACGTGTAGTGTGTCCAGTCTGTGACCTCTGTCCCTCTGTCCAGTGTACAAGTCCCCTGACTACGAGGAGCTGGGCTATGAGCTGCTGATGGACAGGCTGGTGTCGATTGGCTACCCACATGAAATACTGCAGTACAAATACGACCCAAACTTCCCCACCAGGTCAGTGCAGTATGCCTTTTCCTCTACAGAACCTGCCCCATTTGGTCATTTCACCACATTTGTCCTTTTATGCACTCTATTTTCCCCTTGTGTCAAGATTTGCAAAACATCTCGGTGCCTTTTTACATTTTTTACTGTGATTTCACTCTGTTGTGCTAGATTGTGCTAGATACAGCTGGCTTTTCATTGCACGGCCAGGACTGTGCTGCACATAACTTCTATTAATGATTTGTAAAAACGTACTGAGGATCGACATGGTCTTTTTTTTTTTTTAAGGATTCACCTTAATAAAAAAAAATCAATGTGTGTTTAGACTTTGCCTCATCTGACCCCCATTTCTTTTAGTTTGCAACATTTCAGAGAGAAGGGGCATGAATGTTAGCTAACGTACAGCTCTCGGGTCTAGGACAGAGTACCCCTATGTCAATTTTCAGAATACGGTTTCTGTTCTGAGCCAAAATAATGTTTCTGTTAAATTAACAGGGTTCTGAAAGATGACATGTTACACATTCTTGAGTCTTTTTACCTCTATCTGAGCAACATGCCTGAAGTTTTTCTTACTCCTCTTCATGTTCTGACAAGTTTTAAACTGGCAGGTGTACCGTAAGCGCCACTGCAATTACATCTGATGATGACAATTAGTATGGACCTGCCATTTAGTCCAGGGGTGTATTCCTAAGACTACTGCTTGTCTGACATCACTAGGGATTGACAGTAGGGAATCACCACCAGAAATATTATGCATCACAATGTCCAGAGTCCTGTCAAGTCTGGATTTGGAAAAACACACGTCCGTAGTTTCTATACCAGCAGCGCATGATGTCAGACAGATGCTAGCCATGAGGACAAAGCCCATATTATTTGACATGACAAAAATGAATGCGGTGAAGTTCGAATTTTAAAGCCTTTCAGGTTGCGATCATTGAAAAGACAAAGCAAAGTTGTGTTTTATAGCTGCAGGGGGTATAATGCTATCTTGCTTCTAAAAAAAACCTTTTTCAGTGACAATCAGGCAGTTTTTTTCATGCAATGCAACTTCTAACACACTATGGATATATCATCATTTTGTAGCACGATGTGTGACTGCAGTATAATTTTATTGCTCCCAACCTGGCTATCTAGGATAACACAATCAGCACTTCCTTTGCAGTTGGCATCATTGTGATCCAACCCTAATGCATATTACTTAAATAGATATTGCATTTTTGCTGAAAAGACAATGAAGCTACATGTGACAAACATGGCATCAGCTATAACGATATAATGCATTCGGTAATACACAGGTATAGTGTACTTTTTGGCATCTAGCCATGACTGAGAAATGATAATGTCCCAGTAGCATAAACCTTGTCAAATAAATCTTTACAAATAACTTTCCACGTCCACTACTGTTACTGCAGACAGCAACAGCCAGTAGCATAGAATGGCCATAGCTGTAAAGGGGCTGCTGTTTTAAATTTATGGGTCTGATCTTAGCTTAACACAGTGCTGCTGTGCAGAACATGAAGACTTTGCTGTGATTCCAGTCAAAAATGATACGTGATAGCTGTGACCCTCACAAGGTAAAGCAGATTAAAAATGGATGACTGGATAGTTTGACGGTACATGATGATAATAAGAATCTTCTGTTACAAAAACTGGTGGAGCTCAATATGTCTGCTTCGTTTGTTTAGAAATGACTCTGAAAGACACAGAAATAGAAGGATAGATTAACTGGATGAAGCTAATCTGAACTGCAGGCAATGGAGCTGTAAAGGAGTGACCATGGTTTTCATTATGGGGAGAGGGGGCTTAGTCAGAGTATTTGGGATGCTGTAACAGTGACATGACACAGCCATACAGCTATGGGTAAGGCCTTTGGGTGGGACTCGCCTTGCTGACAGGACCTCACTGGTCATGACCTGCTGGCTGGCTCCTTGATCTCCACGGGTCTGCAATCCAGAGTCTGGATTAAAACACACGGGGCCCTGTGCCTGAGGGATTAGCCCAAAGGCACATGTGCAGATCCCTGCTGGTTCAAGTCCGCCAGCCTACAGCTGGGTAAACATTTGGGTTTATCACAGGCATTAACCCATGAGTGGCTGCCCAATTTCAGTGCTCTGAATTTGACTTCAATTTCAGACACATCAGAGTCGCTTGTGCATCCCTACATTTCCCCTGCCCGGTGGAAATGAGCAGGCCTTGACACAAAGGCCCTGCAGCTGTGATGAGTATACTATGTGCAGGGTCTGATGCAGACAGTCATGTGGAGCGCTCATGGGATTCTTGGCCACAGCTGGCAAATGATGTAGCCGAGACTCAGGCCCACCTGGAGAAGAGGTTTCCAGCTGTGCTGCACATCCTTTACTGGCTGAGCTGCACAGTATTTGGTTATAAAATACATGAGTTACAGGAGGAGAGTGTATAATAGACATAATCGTTCAATTTAGGATTAACTACTCATTTTCCGTACTGGCAGGAATTGTGTGGAACTGTTCACCTGTCCTTGCCTGTCGGTTCATTTCTCTCTTGCTCTTATTTCTTCGTCTGCCTTTTTAGTACTTTTGTTGGCTCTGTTCCATTTCCTGTCCCACCCTTCTGAGAAGATGATTGTGCAGGAAGTGAGGTGGGAAGGCACGGTAGTGTTCCACCTCGCTCACCCAGATCCGACATCCGTTGCAATGGGCTTGTGCAACACAGAAGGTGAAAGCTGACATTCTGGACGGCTCGTTCTGCAGTGCTCTAACCTCTGGCTCTGTGCTTCCTTGTTCAGAGGGCTGGTGTTTGACACAATGTACGGAAATCTCCTCAAGGTGGACTCACATGGCAACATCCTAGTGTGTACGCATGGCTTCACGTTCCTCAAAGGGTGAGTGAAATGCTCCTTTGAATTTCTCATCATGCCAATCAGCCTTAATGATTTCCTTCTCTGATTCCTGCATGTGCCGTTCATCATTTTAAAAATGGGACAGTGGCCAGACGTGCAAAGTGTTCCCACTCGGATCATAAGTGAATCTTGCTTTGCTTATTTCTTAGTTTATCCTGCAGTGTGCTGGGATCTCCTGAATGTCCATGACTAAATGCAGGCTGAGCTCTGTGATTACGGGTTCGAGCCTGGGTCATGTCCCTAGTGAACTGAGACCAGGATTCCCCAAACAGAGGTGCACAATTGGCTGCCAAGGGTGAGGTGGGATTAATCAGCAGGCTTGGCTACAGCATCTGCAGGCTTGTGGTGCTGCTGGCAAGGGGTTTGTGAAGTGTTAAAAGGCAAGAGTGTCTTGAAGATGGGCGGGTTGGAGGAGTCTACCTGCACATCCTCATTCTCCCCCGTGTGCGGTCACAGGGTCCAGAGCTTTGAGTTGAACAGGCCATTCTGCATCAAGTAGGTGTAACAAAACTCATTTGTAATTCTTTTTGTTTTTTAAAAAAAGAAGAAGGCCGCTGACCAATATGATCTTAACCAATGCGTGTCAGATTTATTCGGTAGAATGATAGGTTTAACACCCGGGAAAATTGTCTTCCAGATGACCGGGAGGAAATCAATGGCACTATATCTGGCTCAGTTTGTATGAGGCCTAACACACATCTGCACACACTTACACACAAATGGTATATGTTGCTTTGATAAAACAAGACCCAGAAGATGTTATGATCCTACCGTATGTACAGAACTGCATTCTGGTGAATTGCAAAGTAAGTGAAATATACACCTGGGGTCAGTGTGAAGGTATTTTCTGGTCGTGTCTGCGCAAGAGTTCAATCAGGGTTTCCCAATCCTTTATTGCATCACTTCGAGGACTTTGCCTCCTACGGAAATGTGAAAGCAATCTAGCCTGCGGATTGTTTGCTTTAATTCAAATCTGGGATGCATTGCAGAACAGAGGGTAAAAAGTAAGGCACGCCAGAAACCCCCCATACCAAATCACCATGTTAGCTACAGGCTAATCTTAACTTGCTAATCAGGTTTGTTCATTCTGCACAAAACAAGTAGGACTCAACCAGGATTAGCATGGTCAGACAAACAGATAGGTGGCGCATTAAAGGGCCAGAGAACATGCAGAGTGAAATATTGCAGGGTTATCATTCAGCGATGTCTCACATGTCATTTCCTGCAAGGCACATATAGAACGAATTAGGCACATTTCCATTATTGCATGCATTTTTTATTTTATCATCTGTTTTTTTCATGCAGATAATTGCATTTAGTTCATTTAGACCCCTGCAGCAGGCTTGTAGAGCTGCTTCGTCAAAGCTTTTCAGAAGCATGCTGGAGCTGCGAGATTGCAGGCGTGGGTCGCATGTGTCTGTGGGCTGAGCCCCAGGTACTGAGGTTCCCCCTGTGCTCCTTGCATTGCAGCTGTTCAGTGGGCCTGCAAGGAAAGAAGGGTGCAGTGATATTTGGTATGCCTTTGGACTGTTGAAGAACAGGGGAGTTTAGTGTTTCCTTTGTACAACCCAAGAATCTTTTACTTTCTGGTGCCCTGTCCTTGACTGACAAGCTTCCATCTCTGTTCTTCTGTTCTGTGTATCCCTGAAGAGCTCCAAGTTCATCTGCTGGCTTGTTTGCAGATCAGCCTGCAGGCTCACTGCCAGAAGGTTCAGAGGTTGGTGGTGGGCAGGAGACCACATAGAGGGCATCTCTCTGAAAAAAAAAGGGGCTTACAAAGCCCTGTGGAGGATTCCGAAACTTTAGTTCAGCGGGGTTGTGGGTCAAAGGCTAGCGTGACGCTGTCGAAAAACTCCACTTTCCCCAACTTCATAATAGAAAAACACAACCTTCGAAGCACCAGTTAAAAATGGTCAATTTCTGTATGTAACTGCAACCTCAGACGTGCCCTTTAAAGAACCGTAAGCATTACTACCTATTACTGTTTCAACGAGCAAACAAACCTGTATTAAGCACACATTATCACTATTTTAAGAAATATAGCATTTTATTTTTAAAATATCACTTTGGTAAAGGCTGCATTTTTGCAAGTGTGAGAACCATATAAAAGAGCCTATTGTACCAAGAGGTTGCATTTACAGGACGATTGTGTTCATGTCAAAGAACTAGGGTCTAGGTGCGATGCTCAGGGTATGCTAACAGATATCAGCTGTGGTATCCTAACAGATATCAGATTTCCTGTTTCTGCTCTCTAGACCTAACGTTGTTTCTGCTCCTATCTTTATTTTCAGCATTCCCCACACAGTACATCATCTCCCTGCTATGGGGAAAAAGCAAAATTGTATTTATACAGCAGTAATCAGCGGGACTATTGTTACCGGGGGGCTGTGATAGACAGCTCAGACAGCTGTGGGGACAGGAGCAGGGGCTCAAGCGCCCAGCGTTGAAGAGCGGAGCAGAGGCTGGTAGGGTGGTCAGGGGGTGGGGGGCGGGGGGCTCTCTCTACGGGGAAAGATTAGCAGTACTGGGTAAACGTGCCGAGAGCCCGAGCTCAGCTGCAGGGCGGGCTGTGCCTGTGTGGAGTCACCTTCCAGAGGAGCTGGGTCAGTGGGAATCCGATACCTGCTTTGTTGACTCAAGATCTAATTGCTGTCTGTCAGGAGCCTGGCTGTCAGGGCAGGATAAACAGGACAGCTGCCCAGAGGCTGGCTTAACTCTTCCCCGACTGGGAGCTGAAGAACCTGTGCCTTTGATTTTTTAGTGATATCGACTTTTTTCCTAATGTGTACTGGTTACACAGTGCTCATAGTGCCTAGCAGGCACCTTGGTTGCCTGGGATGTAACATTCCCTTACTGTGACCCTACTGTGTTGGCTACAAAAACAGACACAGGCAACATAAGATAACATGAATTGAAGAAGACAATGACTGAACACTGACCTTGTCTTCCTGGTTTAACCTTCCTGATGTGACACATCAGATATGGCAGCTGACCTATTGACGATAAGTGTCGAGTTTGCAATTGTTATAGGTTTTGTGTAGTTGGAGTGCTTTCCTTTCTCTCTACCTGCCTTTCTTCGTCTACATAACGTTTCCAGGTTTTTTAGCAGGGACATCCACTGTGTGTTAAAGATGAAGCAGAATGGAAATGGAATCGAAGCACCTGCCTCGTACAGGGTGGATGTGTTGAAGCAGATTTCTCTCTTACGGATCTTACAGATTTTGCGTTGACAGATCATGTGACTGTGTGCTTATCATATGCAGGGCACAGATCCAGGAGTATTATCCCAACAAATTTATCCAGAGGGACAACACCGACAGATTCTACATTCTGAACACCCTCTTCAACCTATCAGGTACAAGGAACAAGAGAGACTCAAGAGGCACTGCGCCAACACACAAATAAACGCAGCCCCTTCACACACACAAAACTTCCCATTTCCATTGGCTAAACTCGTAAGGTCAGATCTCATAGCAGATGTGTGCAGGGCTGAGTTTACATGCCTCCCAGGGCTTAAACCTATTCCATTATTCCCTTTTCTGTAATGTTCACTAACTGGGAGTGTAATCAGTCTGCAAGTTCATTGTGCGTTAACTCCCTAACACTGCCAGTACTGATTTATGGTCTGGGTTGACTGGGGAAAGCAGTGTGCTCAGTGGGAAGTTGAATGATCCTCAGGTAATGAGTCAGGTGCCTTATCCATCAGTCCATACTGCCCTGATAACAGGACCCAGTAGTAATTTATACATTTTCATTCTTTTTTTGTGTAAAGCAATCTGATTTACATAATACACGTCAAGATTTCTAGCTGATGTGTTGGAATCTGGCATATATACAGACACTTACAGTATACTGGGATCAGTTTACTGTAACAGTGTACTGCACAGATTTTCCCCACGGGCCAAACAGATGAACTCATTGCAGAGAAGCTGAGTTCTAATGTACTAAGACATATACAGTAAGTTAAGGAATAACGTACCCGCAGGGTGTTTCTGAGGTCTCAAGCTCTTATGCTTCTATAGATCACCAGTCCTATGCAGTATACTTTTCATTTCTTAAAATGCCTCAAGTGCTTCTGTGTTCACTGAGTGCTTTATGAAGGTGATGATGTTTGTGAACGGAAACAAGACTGCCATTGCATCACAAGGTTTTGAAGGGCTGCGGGCCCTTATACTCGGTATTGGGTGATAAACAATCTTGTATCTGGTGAAAGAGTTTGTATCCACTTTAGGTTAATCCCATGACTAATTCATTCCAAAAAGATAATAAGCATGGAATATCTAGTACCATGTGCTGGCTTATAGACCATAGTATGAAACAAAAACTAACTAGTCCATAATATTCAGCAATGCAAGTCTAATCTCATAACACATTTGCAGATACACATCTAGGGCTGTAGAGTTCTGGCTCCCTGTACTGTATATCCCTCCCCTGGTTGCTGTGACAGTAGTGATTATCCCATTATGGTATCATCATGTCTTGACTATGCCTATCCACTGTAGTAGTATTCATGTAGCTAAAGTGCAGTACATGAACACACTCTGGAAGAAAAGGCAGGTGTCCAGGATGAAGCTAAATGAAGCTATCCTCGTTTTCTGTTTCTCCCCCAGAAACTTACCTGTACGCCTGCCTCGTTGACTTCTTCACCAACTGCACCCGATACACCAAGTAAGTTCCTCGGTCCCCTTTTGTAGAATACTGCCAAGTTTAATTATACCATAATGCCATGATGAGAAGTTCAATTTTGTTTATGCATAGTGCCTTGCCATATTTAAATAAGTCAGCAAGGGCACCTAGATATGGAAACAATATGCATGATCCATAGCTGTGAAAATATACTGCACTCAAAATAACCATGCACAAACACTTCATCACAACATCATCACATGGATACCTGGTGTTGTGAACCATGCATGTTTGAGGCTGATGTTTATTATTTGGTTTAACTGGACAATTCCAGTGCACGTTTGAGGTATAGTACTTATTTTTGCAAGGCCGGACCTTGCACTTTGCAGAATGACAAAGCTGTATAAAGGGAAGTTGTGAACTGCAGTGCTGATTCGTGCTGGATGATTGGCTTCGATTGCACAAGTATAGTACATCTGTTTCGTGTCCGAGTGTTAGCCTCCACAGGGCCTCAGGAAAATTCCAACCAGATGTATGAGGAATCTGCACTGCAAGGCACTCTGTACAGAACGCAGTCTGCCCCCCCAATAAATTACCCAGCTGTCCATGCCTGTGCTTCAAGGTATACAAAAACAGTGAAAGCATTTCTTACTATTACTTACTGGCTGAAAATTCAAAAGAGGAGCGCTAAATCTCGCCCTTCTCATTTCGTGCATGTTTGATAAAGTCAGACCTGACCGTTTCCCAAGATTCAGACTCTTTAAGGTTAATTACCAAGAGTGAGTTACTAGTTTACAGACTGTCTCAAAAACAGCCAACGCTCACTTTTTTATTCACTTCTGTAGATGTGGGTTTGTCAGGCCTGGGTATTTGCAATAATAAATAAATGAGATCAGGTCACCTGGATTCCATAAGCAATTACTTTAATGACTTCCTGTATTGATTCATTAGTTTGTCTGATGCTTTTATCCAAGATGGATTCTGAGGGTTAAATAAATACAATGCCGTGCAAATATGAAAACATTTAAAGTCTACAAAAATTGAAAAAATACATAAACCCCCAAAATATGGAGCAGATTAAATCATCTGTAGTGAAGGAGGTTAAGACTGTATCAGTGTCCACTAACACAGGATAGCAGCTTCAGTGCAGAGTACAGTCATTATGAAATAAGTATGATTGTGAAATAGCAGTGGACTGAAATATCTGTAGTGCAGTCCACACAGGTGAGGACGCTGGAAGGTGGATAATGACACGTTTACTGTTGTGTAATATGTACTGCAGTGCTGCGTTAACTCTCTTGAGCTGCAGCTGTGATTTCATAAAGAGGTGCTTGCTCAGCGAAGTCTACAATAAGGTGTTTTTCTCTCTCTAGCTGTCAGAAAGGCTACAAGCATGGAGACCTGTTCATGTCATTCAAGAGCATGTTCCAGGATGTGCGAGATGCCATGGACCATGTGCACGACACTGTGAGTCCTATCACACTTCCCCCGCGGGGGTCTGGGCAGCACTGTCAGCCCAAATCAGCTTCTGAACCGTTGTGCTAGTGGGGCTCTCAAAACCAGTTCTCCTCATTGCCTGGCCTTATGTGTGTATTCTTATATGCCTCATCACTACTTTGGGACTCAGTGCAGCTCTGAAACCCCTGACATCATACACATCTCATTTACAAGTGTGTGGACTAATTACCTGTAAATGTGAGAACTCAACAGAATGTGAAGAATACTGTGGCAGTCCAAGCAAGTCAACAGAACAGCAGTGTTAACCTATTAGGCATGGCGTGCCCAGTATGCCACAATATGGTTCACATTCTGATGGGTTTTCAGATTTTCCTGCGCTGTAACTTTCAAGACTTCAGCTGGTCTGTGCATGCCGAGGCTGTGCTCTATTGGCGGTGTCTGTCTGATGTCATTTACTGCACACATCTCCAAACCTTCACCCTGTGGAGGAATCCATGTTGAGTGATTGTAAAACTTCTGTTAGTGGTGCCTAACAGAGCCCTTGCATGAATGAGACCCGACAATCTTGGAAGCCAGAATTTCTACCTATAAAAACCCAACTGAACGGAAGCAATTAAAAGAAATATTCTGGACGCAGTATATTAAAGAAGTCAGAGCAACCAGCTGTCATTCAGAATGATCATTTTCAGGCCCAGCTTTTTTTATGTCTCGCTTTTGAAATCAAGGTTAAAAAAACATTAGTTTCCCCTGTCCAGCTGAGGATCTTACAGGTGCCCTTCCTGTGAGCTTATCCTGTGTTTCACTCAGGGCTGGTGAGCCGTGTCTAGGCCTCTGTTTGAACTGGAGAGGACTGGGGATCTGTAATGGGGGTTTCTCGTGTGTGCTGTCTTGCAGGGAATCCTGAAGCAGAAGACCCTTCAGAACCTGGAGAAATATGTTGTCAAAGACGTAAGTGGTACAAGGAGAGTCTCTTGAGTTGTGCAAACAGCAAACTCCAGATGTCAAAAAGTTTTTAGTTTTTTTTAACTGCGGTTACATTGGCTGAGAGGCAGCGGTGGGTTTCTTGTCGTTGTATACTGCACTTTCACAGCAGTGCTTGCACCTGGACACAGTGTAGTCCTGCTGCCACTGCCTGCCACCACATTTCCTGCAGACCTTGCTTTTACAGTATCAGGCGTAAAGCTTTGTTGCCCTCACAAAGTCTACGCCTTTAATACATTTTTCAAGGGGTGGAAAGTGTATATGTGTTTTTGGGCACAAAATCTAGATAAAACCAATGAAAGAGCCGAGACTCTTGACTACACAGTAGGTTATATAATCAGAAATCAGGTGCTGGATATTTGGGGCTTGTTGCTTAAAGTTCACTAAACATGCACAGATAGCAGCATTAATTTAAAATAACATTAAACCGATAGGTTTTCTTTTTCATCTTTTTATCTTCAATTCAAGCTTTATTATCCCCTAGGGGAACTATGGTAAACATGTACAGAAAGAAAAAGTCAACTTAGCTTAGAAAATTGTATTTGTTGAAAAGATTCTAGATAGTGTAAATGTATCTCTGGAAATTGGTACACGATAGTGTTCTGGTGGCCAAGAAGGATCTCTGATGTAAAATTTCTCTCTTTGTCCTACAGCCCCGTCTCCCTCTCCTCCTCAGCCGAATGAATGAGGTGGCCAAAGTCTTCCTGGCTACCAACAGCGACTACAATTACACTGAGGTGAGCAACAGCACACCTGTCTGACATTGCTGCTAAGTTAAGCAGTAAGTTTCTTTGAGCTTCAAGTTGAACTTTAAGCAGCAAGTTTCTACTTACTGCTTAAAACATGTAGAAATACGGGGACATATGCTTCTGGACTAAATGAAACTTACATTCAAAATGAAGAATTTCGCATTATTTAAATCGTACATTATGTGAAGATAAGTAGGGTACATTAAGTTGTATGTTTGTGATCGAAACTCCTCAATCTTATCTAAACTGTAGTTTCTTAAACTTTAACAATAGTGTAAATTAACAGTTAAGAGCTAGCATAAGTTAGTTCCTTTAGTGCCTGTAAAACAGAAACAAGCTTATTAGATATTACTTTAATTTTGAATCCTTAAGAGCATTATTTTAAAGTTGTGCTCATCTTTCCAGTTCATGAGGCTTGGATTACATTTAGGTTCATTTTGTCCTGAAACACAGAAGCACAACTGGAAAGAGTCTTCTGTATATCTGGGACACTGCAGTCCCAGCGAGGAGCTGAGCACAGCACACAACGGCCCAGCTCACAGTTCTCTCCTCAGTGCCATGTGTGCAACAGAATTCATAGACTCCCAGATTAGCCACGTGTCAGGAAGTAGGTAGTTCCTTCTGGGACACGTCCTCTCCGAGCCTCTGTGATTGCAGTTGTCCGGTCGCAGGGCCCAGGAGACCTGAGCTCTGCTCTTCATGGATGTGGGGCTGTGAAATTCCAGAAGAGCAGTTAAAATAAAAGCAGTAATCACACACGAGGGGCTCCCGGCTAGAAAACAGGCTCCAACCACACAGGGCTGAGAGCCAGCACCGAGGACACTGGTGACAGGAAACCACCAGGCTCAGAGGCAACATCGTCGCGTCGCGCAGTCAGTTAACATCTGTAGAAACTCGAAAGCAACACCTAAACACCTGCAGACCTCTAACTGTTTGCAGAATACCATATGCTTTTTGTTTCTACAGTTTAAGAAAATGTACATTTTATTATTACATGAAGTTTGTATGTGTGAAACTCGCCCATAATGAGGTCTCAGTGAGGTGTGACTGTGTGCGTCGCGTCCAGGGGGTAGCCTGCCTTCTGCCCATTACTTGTTGGGATAGGCTCTGGCTCCCCTGCAACCCCTCATTGAACATATAATAATAATAATAATAATAATAATAATAATAATAATAATAATAATAATAATAATAATAATAATAATAATAATAATAATAATTCCTTACACTTATATAGCTCTTTTCTGGACAATCCACATAGGGCACTTTATAGGTAATGGAGACTCTCCACCACCACCAGTGTGCAGCCCCCACCTGGATGATGCACATGTACACTCACACACACCAGCTCTCAGTGAGAAAAATAACAGAGTAATGAAGCCAGTTCAGAGATGGGGATTTTTAGGAGGCCATGATTGGTAAAGGCCAATAGACACTTGGTCAGGACACTGGGGTAACACCCCTACGCTTTTCAAGAAATGCCCTGGGATTTTGTAATGACCACAGAGAGTCAGGACCTCTGAAAGACGGCACCTTTTCACAGTACAGTGTCCCCGTCACTATACTGGGGCATTAGGTCCCACACAGACCACAGGGTGAGCACCCCCTACTGGTCCCACTAACACCTCTTCCAGCAGCAACCTTAGCTTTCCCAGGAGGTCTCCCATCCAGGTACTGACCAGCCTCACACCTGCTGAGCGGTGGTTAGAAAATATATGAATGAATAAGAATAAACCTCTTCATCATTATCCTCATTGGTGAATGAACAGAAGCTCACCTCAGTCCTCACCTTGTCTTTGCAGGCCATCATGAACTACCTGTTTGACTTTGCTCAGGGTCCCGAGGTAAGAGAGTCAGGGAGTCTCCTCCACATCATGGAAAGCCCACACAGATTAAATTAATTGAGAATTTCCAATATGTTATATGTATATGTTATGTTGCATGTTTTCTACAGGAAGCGTCATGATGTGAAATGTCATGTTTCTTAAGGATGATCATTATTTGAATGATTTTACTGGCACTTTAATTTCAGCTCTCTTAAGACAGGTATTTTTCTAACCAAGTGACTCTCCCTCCCCTCTCTGCTGTGACCAGCAGGGAGGCAGCCCCAGACGGCCCTGGCGATGCTACTTTGACCTGGTTGTCGTGGATACAAGAAAGCCGCTGTTCTTTGCGGAGGGAACGGTGCTGCGCCAGGTGGACACGGTAAGGCCTGCCCCATCGCTGCTGGGACGCCACGGCTCGCTGTCCACTGCCTGCCCCGCACTGCCCCAGCATCTCCAGCAAGTGAAAACTGGATTCCAAAATCTGGGAGAACTCAGACCCCTCAATCTTATTTAAATATGTTGTTAAGTATTATTCCTGAATGACACTATTCGAAACTTGACTTTTAAGAGTCCATTTGTGGGTAAAAGAAGACTAATAGTTGGAAACGTTCAAGTAGGTAGCTGCGTCAGCATGCAGAGACTACAAAGAAACAGGTCACACACCTGAAGAAGGCTCCACAGCCGAAACATTGTGTGTCCTGTCTTTACCTTTCAGAATGGAGTGAACCTTTACTTGTTCTTTAATAGTTGGAAATACAGCTGCAGTTTGTCTTTCATTTTAGTGATGTTCTCTGAGACTGTGAGAAGGGTGGGTCTGTTCTCTTTTCTGAGACCAGTGTCTAAAACACCCCGAATCACAATCTGGGCAGATCTGAGAATCTCCCCAAAGCCGATCCTGACTCTTTACTGTAAAAGGTGGCACTAAACTGATGAGCCACTAAAATGAGGTCTGGTCCCAAAAATGTGTGACTTTTGTATTAGCAAAAAAGAGTAGCATGTAAATCTAACCAACTAAAAGACCCCCTATCCTAACAGACCTGCAGCCTATGACCTGACCTTCCTCTGCCCCTTGATCTGCCTCGGAACGAGCTCTCGCTCTCAATGGGACGATCCAGTTAAATAATGAACGTTCAGGTTTTTGTCTTGTATTTGCAGTGACGATATCCTCTGTCCCTGTTGATGTTCTCTACCCCGCAGGACACAGGCAAGTTGAGGATCGGTACATACACAGGAGGGCTGCAGCACGGGACAGTATACTCTGGAGGTAAAAGGGCTTATGCATTACAAAATGTTTGTTACACAGAAAGGGATTCAGGGATGCTTGTGTTTCATACAGGATTAACCTGTGCTGTTGTCTAAGAAACTGAAAACCTCCTGTGTGGATTCTTTTTACGATGAAGTATCTGTGTGATTGATGAATGTATCTTGGTCATATGCATCATTTGCTTTTGTTCCGTTTATATCGAAAAACAGGTGGCATATGAACAGTTACAAATAGGTTAGAGATATATATTTTAATTCTAACAGCTGATTGAAGTACCTGTTATTATTTAGCTGGCTCTTCCAAAGCGAATTTGTTTTGTACTGATTCATACTCAGTTGGGTATTCTCCTGAAACAAGGTACAAGGTACTTTGAAAGGTACACTTCACTTGCTATTTCAACTCATACCCTTCCAAAAGCCCGGTAACCACAACACCATAGGGCATCTTGTATAATGCTGCAAAGATCTCTTAATTACAGCAGGTTATACATGTTGGATCAACAACATGACCATTATTGGTTGCACAGAGATGAATCCAGGAAGCAGTATCTTGCATTACCTGTGCTGCTTTCTGTGAGTTATGAGGCAGGTGGTCTCCAAATAGTTTTCTTCCAGTGTATCTGACTTCATACGTGGCCCTCTGTCTCCAGGCTCTTCCGACATCGTCTGTGACCTACTGGGCGTGAAGGGGAAGGACATCCTCTACGTGGGTGATCACATCTTTGGGGACATCCTCAAATCCAAGAAGCGCCAGGGCTGGAAGACCTGCCTGGTGGTCCCTGAGCTGGCCAAGGAGCTGCAAGTGTGGACGGAGAAGAGCCGTGAGTACAGGGCAGAGCCACGCTTGACCACTTGAGAAACAGACGTGGTCCGATACAGTGCAGAATGACCAACGCTAAGACAAGGTGGACATTTTGTGCCTGCAGGGGCCTCTGTATCCCCATTTGACGAGACATTTAAAAAAAGATCATAATCCTCTGTCACATATGTTAGATGAAAACCTGGCTAGTGTTGGATGGTTATGTTCCGGGAACTCAGCATGAGAAAGTCTAGACATTGAGGTGAAGCAATAAAAAAGCCAATAGAATTTTAGGATATTGTTATATTTAAGAGTGTAGAATTTCAACCAAGAGGTGCTGAAATTTTACTTGTGCACTAGTAAAACCTGGTTCGTAATATTTTCTACACTTTTGGCCACCACGTTACAACGAGAAGGTTTAATTCAAGTATTCAAAATCCTCAAAGCTGTTGACAATGTCAATGTCAGCTGTTGACAATGACAATGTCAGCTTCTTAGGATCTATAATAAGACATGAACCAGAAGACATGAGTGGAAACTATGAGGAAATGCATTTGAAATAGGGAACAGAATTCGAGGATGAGCAGAGCTCCACCTTGTGACCATGTTTGACATTAACAGCCTGCAATAAGATCATGCAATCAAAATGCTCAGACAGTTTATTTCCTTCTGATTTCAGGTAATGTCCATCATGTCTATTTTGAAAAGTTGGGTTTGTATCATTTGCCTGTAATGCCTTGTTGAAAGAGGTCCAGTTTCCCAGGCTGCCATGCTGTTCCAAGGTGTGAGCCGCTGTTGTTTTCTGTTTTCCAGATCTCTTTGAAGAGCTGAAGAGTCTTGATGTCTTTCTGGCTGAGCTCTACAAGTATGTGCAGACCGACACAGATGCAAGCTCGTGTCACATGTACAAATTGAAGAAAGGGACAATGTTTGTATCGTGGCAGTTCACCTCACCCATACAATATTTACCATCATGCCGAGGTCATCTTTGTTTCTTTTATCTGTCCAGTCAGGTTGTAAAGTGTCACATAAAGGATGATTATTTAAATCTCTGCAGAACTATGAGTCAGTGATGACAGTGAGTCAGTTTAGTCCTTATATTAGTTGTTTTTGGACAGATGCAGATGGACCAATTCATTATTATTGATCGTATTACCCTTGGCCACATGAATGGCCAATTTGTAATTAAAAGTCAAATTAAGTCAGATTCTTTTTCTTATTTGTATTGATATATATAGAGAGAGATTAGAGGCTTTAAGAACAATAAATTTTTGCGGTTTAAAAGATATTAGAGATTTGAATTAACAATATAGCTAAAGATTTCATGAGATGGTTTGTTTCCATCGTCTCATATATATGCATATAACATTTGGCCTGACGTCAATATGCTATACTGGCCCTTGACATAAGGTAAATGTTAGGCTGATGAGCAAAATTTTGTTGATCCAATTAAAAGAATGATGTCAGGGTAAAATGCTTGTTGTTAATCTAGGTAAGCACCTGATGGAATTAATTATTATCTTAAACTGACTAATTTAAGTCCTTTTAGTGGTCTTAGGCTGTTCATAGGTTATAGAGATACAGAAAATCGAGGTTGTCATATTGAATATCTACTGTACATATATCCACACATATAGCCATAGCAAACAGCTGGCTATATGTGCGGATATGGCATATAGCCATAGCAATCAAGGCACCTTCTTGATTTTATGAGTGCTTTCCGTTTCCAATGATGTTTTTTGAGTTCAGCGGCATATAGAATAGGTGCAGATTTTGGCATGTGTGATGCCCTTTCTATTTCTGTCCACTAGAGTGTCTAAAAGATGCGCAGAGCATACAGGTGTGTGTTTCTCAGTGATAACCCATCTGCAAGAATCAGCTAATGCTTGTGTAGACTTCTGCGTGTGCAGCTGCATGCAATGAATCATGGGATAGCTTCCCTGTTGGTTTGTGCTGACAGTTTTCTGTGCTTCATGTTCTAGACACCTGGACAGTGGAAGCATAGAGTGTCCCGACATCAGTGCTATTCAAGTCAGAATCAAGGTAAGGCACATCATCAGCTCTGCTCATTAGTTTAGCACATTAAAAAACATAAATAATGCAAAAGAATAACTCTAACTGAAGGAATGAGGTGAGAGAGAGGAAGATACAGAGGAAAGAATTAAGGATAAGGGCATCTGCTAAGCAAACAAATAAAAATAATCTGTTTATTTTTATGACTTTGTCCTTCCCTTCATTCTCTTTAAAGTTTTTTAAGGACACAAGATTAAGAGCTCCTTTTCTGTACAGAAAAAAAACATTTTTTAAGGGCTTATCTTCAGGTTAACATACAAGAACAATTAACAATTACAATCACTCTTGTTTATTCGAGCATCTTCATTGCTGCTAGAATGCCATGTAATTGCAGGGTTGATTAAGATAACAGAGTGAAGACTTCCCAAATGGTCTAATTTTGGGGGACTACCTTAAATATCAAGTTACATTTCACTCCTATTTCTGGAGAGCCAGGGGTTTCATTATAACCGAGTTCTTAATGAAACAACTCAATCAATTACTGCTTTAAGGGTCAATTAACTGAATTAAGTTGAAATATTCCTGCTTACAATATCTCCTAAAACGCAGGAAGTGCTGTTTGTAGAGAAGGAATGTCAATTCCTCTTGACTGTAATGAGCTTAAGGGGAAAGCTAAGGAGCAAGCCTACAGTGGATAGTTTTGGGTGTGCGCGCGGGGTCGCGGTGTGAGAGGGTGACCGCGAGCGATGTGTGCGTGCAGAGGGTGACCCACGAGATGGACATGTGCTACGGGAAGATGGGCAGCCTGCTGCGCTGTGGGTCCCGCCAGACGCTCTTTGCCAGCCAGCTGATGCGCTACGCTGACCTGTACGCTGCCTCCTGCCTCAACCTGCTCTACTACCCCTTCAGCTACCTGTTCAGAGCCCCGCCCGTGCTGGTGAGTGCGGGGACCCCTCCCCCTCCCGTCTTTCACTCCGTCTGGGAGCCCAAGAGGGGGTTCAGAGATTGTTCACGGTGTCCCCAGAAACAGAGTTAAACATTTCACCCCCTCCCCACCCCCAGGATCATCCAGTGGGTAAAATCTGTGTTTTCACACAGTGGATCTGCTCCGACAGTGGACCTCTTGATGTGCAGTTTTGAATGTCTTAATACTGAACACTATTTTGTCATATTTCCAGTGCCGGATTTCCCATTAGGCACTGCAGGCACAGTGCTTAGAGCCTAGGAAGGAGGGAAACACTAGTGACTAACGTAAAATGAGCTGAAACAACATGCTTGAGATCGACTCTCTGTGCAATAATCTATCAAGCTGCTGTTCTAGAAACTAGAAGTATCGGAGTGATGGTGGCTGGATTTGCTCCATCAATCACGTGGTTTAGCCTTAGAATAGTTTAAAGTGCATCATGTCAATCGACGTAATTCAATTGGCGTTTACCCCTCTTTTTGCACATTTTAGTGCCTAGGGCCTATGAACACCAAATCTGGCCCTGCATATTTCTATGAAATGTAATCTTGTGCTGGAATTGAGGGATCTTATGGAGAATGACCTCTTGGAGAGGGAGACTACACTCCAGTGTGGCTGCCTTGCTCACGGTCCGCAGTCTGTCTGTATACCGTATGCCTGTGCATGTCACGAATGGGCCTTAGTCTTCTGTGGAGGGTTGCTGATTAGACCCTATGCGGTGCGGTGTAACCCGAGACAAATAGGACATCAGGGAAAACACATAAGGGTTTATTCGTGAAGGTAATGCTCAGTGACAACAGGTGCCCTGGTGAACAGGGGAAAAGGAGGCATCCAGTTACAAGCGAATCCATGGGGGAAAGTCAGGGCCCAGTCCAATAATCCTAAACCAGGAGATCCATCCAACCAGACAGACACAGGGAAATATGAACAGTCCAAGAACATATGGGGCCGAGTCCTACAGAACCCTGGGCTCAGGGGGCGTGATGCCCCTGGCAAGGCCTGTGCCCTCAGACCAGTCCGCAGTCTGGTTCTAGGCGGACCTCTGGACATCTGTTTCCTAACGCTGAGCTCTGAGCATCGGAAACTCTAGGCTTATGTATCAACACTGATTCTTAACACCTGGAAATAGGAACACAGCAATCAAACTAGGACTCGGGAATTTGGAGTGCCCCCTAGGGGAAAGGATGCTAAAATCTAACAGTGTATGTCAGTTTGTTCTGTCAAACATCTGTGAAATACTCAGAACAATTACTGTGTATGTTTGATTATCTGATTACCAATGTCTTCAAAATGACTAAAACGTACTGCCTGGTAATTTACTGCAGCATCAATTTAAAATCAGTTTTATATTTTTCGAACCTTGGCAAGACACTGATAGTGACATATAACTTAATACAAACATGGATAAGAAGTATGGTCTTGCCTGGTTTTGGAATTCAGATCAGGTGTTTTGCATGTACAGTATGTGAAGAATCGTAATGAATTGGGTTCCTTTTGCTACAGCCAGTTCTCGAAATTCTGAGAATGATTCCTGAACAGCTGCTACAGGCAGTACAGTGTGAGCAGGAAGGGCTACTTTCAGACCTGCGTGTTGCTCTTGCTTCTTCACAGATGCCCCATGAATCCACAGTGGACCACTACCCCCTAGACATGACCGTGTCGGACTCCTCTGTAAGCAATCGAGTCCTCCGCCTCACAGTGTCCAAGGTGAGTGAGTAATCCTGAAAACTGCAGAGCAAATGTCCCTTTTGTAGCATCTGCTCTGCTGATTCTGCTATTTTGTGCTTTAAGTGAATGGTAGCAAACACGCTGCCCTGGTAAACAAATAAAAATAATGCTGATTGCAAGACAAAGAGTACAGTGTTAACAAACTGCTTAAAGGACTGATGCCTGTCCACTGAACACATATTTTTCTTTCCTGTGATTCCGAACTTTTTTGCCGCAACAATAAATTGACGTAGGGAAGAATTAATCTGAAGATATTTTTTTTTACAAATTTAACATGAAATCTTTGTCCTACTTTCTGACCATGTTAACGTAGATTATCTTCTACAGTATATAGTGTTTCACCCAGGAATGTGCTTCATAACTCAGGATTTGTGCTTAGAGGAGAAAAAAAATGAAATTGGTTTTAGCTGACCCAGATGCAGGAATGAGGACCTGAATATTTGTAAGTTTGTTTAAAGAAAGCACAGCATGCTTTTCTATCTCTTACATGTGTGTCTCTCTGTCCACAAGGCACGTGACCCCCGTGACGAGGAGAAATGAGCCCAGGGGAGCTGGCGGCAACAATAAACTGGACAAAATCATGGAAGAGGAAGTGGAATTTTAGCCTGGAGAAGGGAAGGGACACAGGGAGATGGGCTGGTCAACAGTATTACCAACGTACATTAATATATTGAGCTTCAAGTCACAAAAGACAGTTTTTCCAGCTGTGACTACTGCAAGTTTTTTTCTGGTTAACATGACTAAATACTGGGATTACATCCATCTTCAGCATAACTGCATAGATTGCATTGCAGGAAAAAAATAATGAGAATAACAATTATAACAACCTCTCCAAAAGCTGTCATTTTAGGTCTTGAGGTTCAAACACCTACTGTGGTTCAACCACTTGCTTGGCATTTTCTCCCAGTTTACAGTAGGGTGGATGATTGCTGATGCAGAAAAGTACTTGATGTAGGAGTCATCTCTGTGCCTTTTGCAATTTGGACTCATATTTATCTGTGATCCAGAGAGGTTATTGCAATCCCAAATCATACAGAAACTGTAACTCCTGTATGATACCAGAATCCTTTGAACCTGGTGCCCAGCAGACTCATTACATATCTGCCCTGGGTATAGCAGACTGGTGTCTAGCCAGTGTACTGCTTCTGACTGTACTGTAAGTGCAGTCTGGTTTGCCACAGTATGCGATAATTTTCAGTGCTGTCCGATCTGTTTGTTTAGTGTGTGGATGACCATACATGCATTGTTTTTAAACCTGCCTGAGCAAACTTTTCATGTAATGTGCAATAAACAGAGTCTGAGCGATGTAAGTGAAATTCCATGTAGAAATCTCTTGCCAGCAAGGATACGGTTCATTGGCTACTACCCAGAGTGGAATGGAGGGAGAGCTATTGTGATGATGCCTTTGAACAGCATCCTTGTTATTAATTTTTCAGAAGGTGTAAGTTAGGACCCGCCCTAGAAAGATCTTCGTGTGCCTTAAATATATTCTGATGGTAACTTTTTTATAAATACACTTTAAAATTGCTGTGAATATTAAGACAGAAGTATATGTAAAGTAAGCTGGAAATAAACAACTTTTATACAACATGTGGTATGGAGAAAAAATAAAATGGATTTTAAAAACCGTATTTTTTAAATGATATCTAAGCAAATACATCTGGCTTCTGGGAAAGGATTATTGCCAATGTGAACCTTTGTTTTAGCTTTGCAAAAACTGCACTGCAGTTTTGGGTGGTCCTGGCCCTGTAGGGACAGACTTCTGCTGAGCTGGTAGAGGTGAGTTTGCCTTCAAATCCCCACCTGCTGAAAACATGGAAGGAAAGCCTCCTTGCTTGAGCTCAATCAAGAACTAAAATAAAAACAGAGAGAGAGAGAGTGCTTGAATTGTAAGCTCAATACATTGTCTAAGTGAAGCAGTGGAATTTGTAAAGTACAGATGTCAGTTTTCTTCAGTGGTTTTATGTGTGTCTAAGCAGCCATGACACAGTCCTGTTACATGTGGCAGGTGTTAAAATCTTGGTAAGGAGATTTTAGAGTCAACTGAAACCCATTAAAAGACATTTTAATGACATTCGAAATCCCAGGGTGATAAATCATCATTCCGGACTCACCGTGCGATACCAAGATCCTCTGTATACTTGCTCTCAGACTTTCTTTAGTCTTTGAGATGACAATATAACTACCAAAATCCCCAGAATTAGACTGTTCAATTTCCTGAATAGATGCCTTAATCAGGAATGAAATGACAATATTAAACATACCACATTAAACCATCTGAGCATCTTCAAATCTACCAATTTAATTTAAGTGATCACCTTGAAGGGAAACCTACGACAAAATTCACTTTCTCCTGCTGCAGTAAATATGAAAACAAAATACTAAATGTATGTCCATTTAGGTTGACTTTTTTCAATATCCGTACGTTATCACCTTCAGTTTTTCCAGATACGAATAAATGTATCATCAAAAACAGATCAGGTCCAAGAAGCTCCGTAATTAATCTAATTGTACAGACAAATGAGATGTAATAAGTAACTGACAGGAGGAATAGTAACTAACAAGCAGGAAAGGAATAAACACAAGTACTATTGAAGAAATCATTTCTGAACGATAATTTCTGTTGTTTACAGATTTTTGTTTTGTGGTCCATAAACTTGCCTACTCTGGTCTTGGAGAGCTTACTCTTTGCTTTCATGCTTCTGACTTATTACATCTTTTATTTCTAAACACAGCATGGCAGTAAGAAATTTATAGCCTGCTCTAAATTCAATACAAGCACTTTTGTGAAGGTCATCCGAAAAAAAAATCACCATACATTTAGGTTGCTGTTTCGATAGTCAGACAATCCATAATGAGTTTAAATCACAGAGGAGGTAAAAACTGTGTGGCAGTTATTGTAGAAGCAGTGTTCTTCACAGAACAGGTATGATATCATCCATTGAATAACGGAGTCCTACGAGACCCCTCTCTCTGCATCTTGGATATAGAGCTCAAAGTTTCCCCTTGCTGTGAACAATTTAATTTCGACTACTTTAGTTCAATTAAGTTCTAGATTCACAACTGAGAACCACATTTGGGCCATTTAATTCCTCTTTTATCCATTATGTTCCTTTCTCTGTTATTGTTTTTTTTAATTTTACAAAAGAGACAGATGTGGAGGATGAAAAACTAGTTTTGATCTTTAAATATTAAAAACTGAAAGTACTGGAAAGTGATGAATTGATTGTGATTTTCCACACCAAAAATGTACTTGGATCATATATGAACATATGGGTACATATAGATGTATTGGTTCAGGTGGGAAGCTGCATCAGCATGCGTAGGCTGCAAAGGAACAAGTAATAGGTTTATTCCATGCTGAAAAAAAAGAAGAAAGAAAACACAACGTTTCGGCCGTGGAGCCTTCTTCAGGTGTCATATAGATGTCATATGATGTCATATCGATGTATGTAGCACGGACTCAAGAAAGACCTGGTTCAAGTACTCAAAACCTCAAGGGTCATTGGCAAACGTCAATCCAGTGGGCCTCTTGAGTATCGACAGTGAATCACAAAGCAGAAGTGCATCTACAAGTGCATTTTAAAACAGGGAAATTAAAAACAGGAAGCATTTCATTATGCAAACCGTCGTGGAGTTAATGAATGGGCTACCCAGCCTCCTGTCAAAGAGAATATTCCTATTCACCACTTTTTTCTTGAGGTTAAAAGGCATATACGGGATTTCAAATGCACATAATAATAGAGGAAAACACCATGAATTCAACTAATTGGGAAAAGTGTCTTACATAGCCAGAAAATAAACAAATCTACACTGTATAAATAGCACATTGTTGTAAGATAACCCCGTGCTATTTTACCGTTATACTCTTTCTGCGCCTGCTCACAACCGATTAATTTATAGGCTGCAAAGGACTGCGCAGACTCAGTACTCTGTTCTCGGAAGTCCCATAAAATGCTGCGCATGGCTATTCCGAAGTTGAGATTGTGCTTGCGTTGTTGAGAAATAGAGTTGATGTCGCAGTTTGTCAGTTTTGTCCACGATGTCTCTGTTCTCGCAGTTTGTCTGTCTGTTCTTGCTCGCCACTCTCAGCCTCACCCGAGCGCTGTACTTCCATATCGGAGAGACGGAGAAAAAATGCTTCATCGAGGAGATTCCTGACGAGACCATGGTTATCGGTACGTACAGGTGAACTACAGTACCTGACCGCAATCATCTTGTTAGAGTTCAGTTTGAGGTACTTGCAAGTGTTCTTTGATTGCGCTACTTTAAATCACCCTTTTTAAAAGATTAGGATCTTTTGCAAGTATTGATCACTTAAGCAAAGAATTACAGTAGTTAAGGGAACTTTTCTCCTTCTGAGACTTTTTGTGTTTTAACAATTACCTATACAATTCCTATACTGGACCTCTTCAGGACTGGTTTAGAGATTCCTGGTTTATAAACGACGAAGAATTCACTCTGATCCATTTGGGGTTTTATGAACTGCAGCCTCTTAAAGCAAATGTGGTGAAAGAAAGAGAAAAGCAAGAAGCTGTGTCCGTTCTAGATAGTGTAGCAAGTTAACAAGCACATCAGGTTGGTTCATAAAGTGTGCATCAGAGCCAACCGATTGTGCATCACAAGTCTTGGTTCTGTCGTTGGACCGAGAGCAGACATGCTGATTCCTGTTGGGTGTTTCTCCCAGGGAAATACCGCATACAGCTCTGGGACAAGCAGAGCAGCTCATTCCTGCCGTCCACACCTGGCCTGGGGATGCATGTTGAGGTCGCAGATCCAGGCACCAAGGTAACATTTATACTACTGTACATAACAGTCATCTGCACCTAGGTTAACAACTCAGTCAATAACTGACTGAGTGTGGAACAAGTCAAACTGCTATGCAATTGGAGTTTAACGTCAAAGAGCATTGTTAAGTGGATTCCATTTTTTAAAACAAGTTAAAATATACAGTATCCATTTTTTATTATGGAGACAACAGTTTTACAGCCTTCATGAAAGAATAACCTAAAAAGAGCAAATTTCAGTACTGCCTGGGACAGGATGATAGTGTTTGTTCATTTCAGATTCATTTCAGAACACAACATACCTGTTTCGCCTGGTTCAACATTACTGAAGGCTTGTATTAAGATCTGCAACTAACAATTATTTCACACAGAAGAAGTACAGTGGTGTATTAAAATGCCCTGAATCTGAATCCAGGCAGTTCCCAGGCCTTTCTGGCTCTCAGAGTGGTAGGAGTGACGGGACACTTGTCGGCTGTCTGTGTGTCGTAGATCATGCTTTCCCGGCAATATGGTTCTGAAGGGTGCTTTACCTTCACCTCCTTCATCCCTGGAGAGCATCGGATTTGTCTGTATTCCAACTCCACCAAGATGGCGCTTTTTGCTGGGGGAAAGCTGGTAAGCGACCCTGCAGGTGTTCGGGGCGAGACCTGCCTTTCAAAGACTGCACTGAATTTTCCATATTATGCGCTTGCAGCTTTTTGTATTGTTACAATTTTCATATACAGTCTGTTGTTGCAGTTTTTTAGATTTCAGATGACAGAGCACCAAAAACCTCTAAGAAACATTAGTGACTGGAAGAGGCTGCCATTTACTCTGCTTTCAGTCATGTTCTTGAGTAATCCTAACATTTGTTGGAAGATGGAGAGAACAGATCTAGTTCAGAGAAACTCTGAAAGCAATAACAGTGTTATTTACATTCGGTTGAAACCAGAGCAGGTTGTTGCAATTTCAAAGTTTAGGTTTACATCCACTTCATAAACTCTTCCCTGATCACTAGGTGCTAGGTTTATATGATCTATTGTTACAGATCTATTTCTGAGTTGCATGAAATATCTTGTTTTACCTCTTTTTTTTTGCTCTCCCTGTGTCAGAGAGTCCATCTGGATATCAAAGTAGGGGCCCAAACCAATAACTATGCTAAGATTGCTGCCAAAGACAAGCTGACCGAGATACAGCTCAGAGTCAGGCAGCTGCTGGACCAGGTGGAGCAGATCCAGATGGGGTACGACTACCAGCGGGTGAGAGAGGCCCAGAGTGGCTTGTCAGTGTATTTCAAGTTTGTTGCACATCTCGTTGTTCCAGTTCTTGCTTAAGACTATTCCCTCCTAAATTTGTTTGTTGTGGTCATGTTAAATAACTATTACAGTGAGCATAGCATTGCAGAAAACCTTACAAGGCTTCATGTTATACACTCACTGGTCAGAATATTATGGTTGTGGAACTCCAGGTCCTTTGAATAGGCTGTCTTTGTGATGGGCAATTTGTAGCTGAATTGAGGAGCAGGAAAACACACCCCAGGTTTAAGTAGGATTAAAAATCAGTGGTATGGATGGAATGCACTGTGCAATCCCCTCACTGGTACCCTCAATTGAGGGAGATCCTACTAGAAAAATAGAAGGGGTTGTAGCTGCAGATATTTTCAAATCTTTTTAAAAACCTCTTGGAATACAGGTCAAGTCCTCTTCAGGCTGTTCTTGTTGCTCAGCTAATGTAAGGTGTGGGGTACAGTGCTTTGGTAATGGGGCTCCAGGCAGTGTGCACCTCTGAAACCAGCACAGAATACCCGTAACAGTCTGGGCCAGGAGAGGCTGTGTTTTCAGTGTCTGTGTGTCTGTCTCGGCAGTACCGCGAGGAGCGCTTCAGGATGACCAGTAAGAGCACCAACTACCATGTGCTGTGGTGGTCCATTGCCCAGACCATCATCCTCATCATCACCGGCATCTGGCTAGTAAGCCTACTTTATACTAGTATTAATTCCCATGGAAAGGCATTTAAGAGTCCTGAGGTGTTGTATGTCCGTTCCCAACTCATCTTGAAACACACGGAGCTTTGTTACAGACTTTGTGTTTCAATTCCCCTTCATATTTGAAATGTACAATATGTTTTTGTTTCTAAAGCTGGGCCACATTTTGAGCTGTAAACCATTTGCAAAGCTTGAATAAAACTTATTGTTAAAGTGAGCTAATAAATAGTAATTTATTTAATTTAATAAATAGTAATTGAAAAAGTCATTTTGATTATGGTCAGGGTGTTGTTAGAGGGCTGAGATACTGAACTATCTGTGGTGTTTTCTCCCAGATGACACCTAATTAATACATCTTATTAAGCATCACACAGTATCTGAAAGTTTTTACTCAGGCATAGTATTCAGTTCAATTGTATACAGACTTTGTAATGGACTGGCATCCCTAGGGTGTCTCCTACCGTTTGCCAGTTACTTGCTGGGATAGGCTCCAGCTCCCCCTGCAACCCTGAATTGGATAAAGCCGTTAGAGAATGGATGGATGTATACAGACCATTACACGTTTTCAAGTCCAGTAACTGGATACCAAATGGTAAGATCTTGTCTTAGAAATACACATCACATAAATCGCTGGTAACTGAGAGACATGTAGAAGACAGTTTCTCTTTCCGTGTACCTGCTCTGAAACGTTCGTTAATCTTCAGGCTGAGAATAGCCAATACAACTAGATTTTTAAGATAAAGTTCCCAAATGGGTAGGAATAAAATAACAGAGGGGTGTAAAATCTTGAAATACTGATGAAAACAAATGGCAAATTGTATTGGGTGCTACAATAGCGCTAATTATTGTGAATCCACTGTTATAACTTTTTGGCAGTACAAGATAAAAAGTAGTTAAGAGACCGAGTTTCCCCAACATAACTCTAGCTCAGAAAATTGATAAGCGATGCTTAAATCGATGTGATTTCCTCCACAGAGAAAAGACACCCATCACACTTCTGATGTGCAGAAGGTAAAGAGAGAGCCACCCCAAGCTTCTGGCTTTGGAAGCAAGCAGGTCAAGGTTGATTCCTTGGCAAGTCCCAACGTGCTTGTATCACAGGCCACAGTCTTCCAGAACACCAAAGACCAAAACCAGGAACCAGAGGAACAAGCTGGTGAAGAAAATGAGGTTGAATTCCAAGAAACTGCTGACCTCCTGCACTTGTTTAGTGATCACGGGTGCCAGCTGCCCAAACACCAGTGTTGTGCTCCCTACCTATCAAACTTTGTGTCATCTGAGGAGGCATTACTGGCTGAACACAGTGGTGCCAACAAAAGGCTCACAAGTCTACTTTTGCCAAGTTCTTTGATCTCTGGAATAAAACTGGACAAAGAAAAAAAGGTGAGGTGATCCATTGTTAGCACAGTCAATGTGGTTTTTCTACATTTGGCGTATGTCTACGACTGGAATGATGGGTCCCCAACCAAAGGCAAAGCTCTGTTCATTTTTTCAAGGTCACGTGGCTAAGCCTGTGATAGGGCTTGCCGTTAGAAAATGACTTTCTGTTTTCAAAAACTTTGTAAACATTCATTCACAATGGAGCTTTAATATTTTATCTGGTTACCATACACTGACAAATGTTTATAAATCACGTGTTTTAAATATAAGTGAGCAAGTGATTAATCTCTGCTTTACAAATTACACCTTTTTCTTAATGTGACTGCTGAAATGTTTAGCTCTGTCCATACGGCTGATGTGCTCATTTCCAGAGAACACTGTGACACATCCTGACTGTATCAGCTTGAGTTGGTACTTGCTTTTAGAGACTGAGCATGGAATTAAATACCAGTATTGATACATACATAAATCATATTAAAATTGTCATTTAACTAATTCAACACTTGTTCAGTTTTACACTGGAATGTTAAAGATAAAAGCAAATTAATGTGCAGATGGATTTAAAATTGAACTCAATTAACATCCTAGTAGGCATATATGGAAAACAGTAATAGGTGAAAATAGTCTGCTAGATGAGAAAGCTGATTGGTTGATGGCATTTCCTCATTTCCTAATGTAATGTAGTTTTACAGTGTTCTCTGTATCATAGTTGTGTGATATCAACATTGTGTACATTATTAGAAAGGATATAACCTGTTTCTTTTACAATACAGGTCTGGACTACATCAAGCAGCGGGTGGAGCTCATAACAGACCCTGATGAGCTACAGAACTCCTCCGATAAAGTTTTTTTTTTTTTAGCTTTTGTGAAGTCTTCTGTTGTACAAGAAAGTGCCAAACAGCTTGAAGGATATCTGACCTGTTCAGTAGACAGCATGGATCTGCTCAGGTCAATACTTACAATGAGGGAGACGTCCATCGGGGTCAACATGAGATTATACTTTTATACTTCTACTTAAGCACTTTTTTTTAAAAACGAAACTTGCACTTGTATATTTTTAAAGAAACCTTTTGCACATTTGAGGCAATTGAACTCTTTTTACACCCCTGTAAAAGATATTATTTAACTAAGTACTAGGCCATCAGAGCTCCTTCAGTTTTCTGTGAGTTATCATCGTGAAGGGAAACCCATGACAAAATTCTTCCTCTCTTGTGTCAAATATAAAAAGCTATTGTCTGCATGAATTAGGATGCAAGTCCTGTTAAATGTCCCATCTGCACTAATCTTCTGTTTTCCCAAATACAAATAAATGCATCCTGTGTGGGGAGTAGTTGTCATGTCCGTGTAAGATTTTATGATCTTTTACATCTATGACCTGTGTTGATAACTTGATTTCCCCCTTGGGGATTAACAAAGTGTACCATATCATACAGTGTTACGTTTAGCTTTTTACCGCCCCTGTACCTTATGAAATTACAGCAGTTTCCCTTTAACATGTTTGTAAAACTAAACATGACAAAGGAATGTATTAATACTGACCCTGGTATGCCTTAATAATAACTACTGTATATCTGTTTTATCTGACTCGATGTTTCCTGTGTCTTCTAGTTTCATATACAGAACTGTATGCAGTATGTATGCTTATCAACTTGCTTATTAAGAGTTTGCTCTGCTGTTTAAAACAAGGGAGCTCTTAGTAGCTGATCCCTTAAAGAATCTTTCTGCGGTGGTCAAATGTTACATTTCAGTTAACACACTTCAATTTGCCTGTGATTAAGATTAAGACCTTGGTTGGAACAAAAATGAGAACGTAAAGATGTACCCCATGAGCAGAGTTAGGAACAACTGATTTAAGTAATATACTGAACCCCCAAGATATATTGTACTCTCAACTTGGACCCAGACAAAAGTATCCTGATCAACCCCTTTTTCCTGACGTAATAATGCACGTACCAGATTTACAATGAACAGAATAATCTTCAGGAAAATATCCTGAATTGAAACAGTTAGGAAAGTTGTTGTCCTACGTGGCCAATAACTGTATACTGTACATACATTGCTGTATGATAACCCCGTTTTAGCAATACGTCATCCCTTTTTCCGCGCATGCTCAAATCGACTACTTTTTGGGCCGCAAAAACACTGCGCAGACGCAGTGCCCTGGGTCGGAACTGCTGGAAGAATCCGCGCATGCCCGCTCGGAAGCTGAGGCTGTGTGTATTGTGCGGATTCGACGTCTCAGGTGCAGCCGCTGTCAATGTCAGTTTTGTCCAGGATGTCTCTGTTCTCGCAGGTTGTCTGTCTGTTCTTGCTCGCCACTCTCAGCCTCACCCGAGCGCTGTACTTCCATATCGGGGAGACGGAGAAAAAATGTTTCATCGAGGAGATTCCCGACGAGACCATGGTTATCGGTACGTACAGGTGAACTACCTGACCGCGTTCGCCGTTGGTTAATAAAACTGGGTTCGCTTTCGTTTATCTACGTACGCCCATCCCTCCTGGGACGACGAACCTTCCTGAACCACTTCAGCAGCCCTTCAATTGCTCTTTATCGTTTAAAAAGCGAGCTGGCATAGAGTGTATAACGTTGTTCGGCGTCCTCTACGGAGATGCAGTTCTCTTGTTCACAATTCTCTCGTGTGCTTGCTACAGTATGCTTACTTGTGGTTTTGTTTTGGTTAAAATGTCAAGAAATAATGAAAAAGACTAATATTTCATGTTTCAGTGTGTGCGTTTCATTCTCATAAAACGTCGTCGTGTAAACAAATGGTTAGCTGAGTGCGCAGGTGCCATGGTCTTAGTTCTGCACCTGTGCTCGCTTCTGTTATATCGACGGGTCGCCCTTGACACCTTTAAGACGAAAAACAAGTTTTGCTGGTTTGCGTTTGTGCCAGAGGTGCATTGAAATTCTTATTCGCACCGATCTCTCGGGGCATACACAGTACAACTGATCACCTCACACAATGTAAACAGTACATTACAGAATGGTACAGAATAAATAATAACAACCACTTTCAATAAATGTGGCAGTGAAAAGAATATGATACTCCATACAGAAGGTGCATTGCAGTTAGTTTTAAAGATGCACACTGGATTGAGGTAGAAACGGTTCTTAAGTCTAGTGGTGCAAACCTAGTGGTTTGAAACAGCATGGGTTGTGCATATGTTAGTCTGAACCGAAATATGAGCAAAGGTTATTTGTATAAGTCACCTTAAAGTTGACTTTTTAAAAAATATTAGTCGTTTTTGTAAATGTTGGCCAATTAAGCAAATAATCTGTTCCGTTTAGGGAACTCTTGTCATTATGGGTTGAAGGGCATTCTGATTTTTGTACCGAATGATCTGCAAATCACTTAATTAAAAAAAAATCTCCTTGATAATCCACAATAGAATTCTGTTGGTCTTTTAGTGGTCACCCATATAGCCTCTTAGACCAGGACCTCCACAGGACCTGGATCTGAGACTCCTAGTTTATACACTGCAAATGATGAAGAATGCCCTTTGTATAGCCGTTTGTTCCATTTCAGGTTTTATAGGCTTACTGTAGGCTCTTCAAGAGAATGTGCTGAATGAAGCAGAAATGCAAGCACCTATGTCCTTTTTAAATAATCTAGCAGGGTATGAAGTACAGGGTAACCAGCACCTAATGCTGCTTATTATACAAGGGCCTGCAAAGTGTGAAGCAGAGCTATGTGCTTGTGCATCGCAAGTCTTGGTTCCGTCGTTGGACAGAGAGCAAACATGCTGATTCCTGTTGGGTGTTTCTCCCAGGGAAATACCGCACACAGCTGTGGGACAAGCAGAGCAGCTCATTCCTGCCGTCCACACCTGGCCTGGGGATGCATGTCGAGGTCAAAGATCCAGACACCAAGGTAGCGTTGGGTCTCATAACTCTGGGGCTGCATGGAAGACCAGTGCCTTTTCAAGCAAAGACAGTTCAAACTTCCTCCTGAATTGTAGACTGCTTTCTAACATGCCAGTAAATTGTTTTACACTGTGGTTCTGCAATTTTCACCTAGAGGCGAAGCATATTTAAAATATTATTTAATCTCCACGTGGCTATCACCTGGCGCTAGGTTAATTCCTCAGTCTAAAGCTGCTAAACCTGGAATAAAGCAATCTGTTATGCAGTGAGCATCTTATTGCAAAAAGCATTATTTATTGTCATGTGGGTTGCATTCGTTGAACAGAAGAGAAAATATATAATGTCCAATTTGACATTGTGGAGACAACATATTATATTTTCCATGAAACAATAACCTTTGAAACACATTTTCGTCTGGGAACAAAAAAACCTCAACCACATTTGGGACACAAAAACAAATTACTTTTGGCATTACGCTCAGGATTTTACAACACGCCACATGCTAGTGCTGAACATGGCATGATGAATGTACATGAGTTAACAAAGTACACTTGGCACAGTGTGTGGGAGGACTTGTTGCTATATATTAGTGTTGGTGCTTGGCTGGGGTGTTACTTCATTCAGATCCCTCCTTTAGATTTGGATGCCATTCCATGCACTGTATTAAAATGTGATGAATATGGGTCTGGGACTGGTGGGAGTGAAGAGTCACCTGTTGGCTCTGCCTGTGTGTCGTAGGTCGTGCTTTCCCGGCAATATGGATCGGAAGGCCGCTTCACCTTCACCTCCCACACCCCTGGAGAGCATCAGATCTGTCTGCACTCCAACTCCACCAAGATGGTGCTTTTTGCTGGGGGGAAGTTGGTAAGCAGCCCTTCATACTACCGTTCTGGCATTTTGCTTCACAGGTGTTCCAGGCAGGTCCTGCCTTTTGAAGATTAAAATACATGCCATCTTGTGCTCTTGCAGCTTTTTGTATCGTTGCAATTCTCAGGTACAGGGTGTTGTTATAGATGATTGAAATTCAGAACACTGAAAAACACTAAAAACCGTAATCAACTTAAAGAGGTTGCCATTTATTCTGCTTTGAGTAACTTTCTTGGGTAATCCTAAAGTTTCAACAGTTGTCTGATGGAAGATGGAAAGAGAGAGAAGAGAACTGGTTCTATCAAACTCATCTAAGTTTCTCAGAGGGAATCACAGTATCCATTAACAGTTGAAACATCGTGGTTTAATCTTGCTTCAGACCTCACAGACTTTCCTGATCACTAAGAGCTAAATTGATGTCATACGTCATGTTTTTTTTTAATTTCCCTGTGTTAATCTGTCAGAGAGTTCACCTGGATATCCAGGTAGGGGAACACACCAATAACTACCCTGAGATTGCAGCCAAAGACAAGTTGACAGAGCTGCAGCTCAGAGTCAGGCAGCTGCTGGACCAGGTGGAGCAGATCCAGAAAGAGCAGAACTACCAGCGGGTAAGAAAGGCCCAGAGTGGTTTGTCAGTATGTTTCTAGGTTGTTCTACATAGTTCTGATCCGTTTCTTGCTTAAGAACTATTTCCTGCTAAAGTCTTTTGTTGTGGTCATGCTATTGCATAACTTCTGCAGTGAGCATAACATAGCAGAAAACATTACAATGCAACATACTGTACACACACTGGTCAGAACATTATGGTTATGGAACTCCATGTCCAATGAATAGACCGTATAATTTACAGCAGCAGTAAATTGATTTCCATTCACTTCCCAGCACAAAATACACCTTACAGTATGTCTAAATGCTATTGAAAATATGTGCTACAGATGCACTGTGCAATCCCCTCACAAGCACCCTCAATTGAGGGAGATTCTGTTAGGATGGGTTAGATCTGCAGATATTTTAAAACCTTGTGGAATACAGGTCAAGTCCTCTTCAGGCTGTTCTTGTTGCTCAGCTAATGGAAGGTGTGGGGTGCAGTGCTTTGGTAATGGGGCTCCAGGCAGTGTGCACCTCTGAAACCAGAACAGAATACCCGTAACAGTCTGGGCCAGGAGAGGCTATGTTTTCAGTGTCTGTGTGTCTGTCTCGGCAGTACCGTGAGGAGCGCTTCAGGATGACCAGTGAGAGCACCAACCAGCGTGTGCTGTGGTGGTCCATTGCTCAGACCATCATCCTCATCATCACCGGCATCTGGCAGATGAGGCACCTGAAAAGCTTTTTCGAGGCCAAGAAGCTGGTGTAATCCTGCATGCCCTCTGCCAACCCCCTTCGTCCTCCAGTGCTCGTTACTGCGTCTCCTTTCTTTAGGAAGAGGTGGAGGTGCGACGAGTGGGACTCAACCTGATGCCCAGACTATTGATCCAGCCATTGAAGACTTTCACTTTGGCTCCGTGGAAAAATCCTGTTGGACTCTCCGTGCTGGGAGTGGGGAAGGGAAGAGTAATTCAAGTTTTAAAGTAAAGGCAGGTTCAAGGAATGATAAGAGTTTTTTTTACCTATCTTCCTCCTTTTAATGGAAGATCCCCTTTAAACAATAAAACAATGGCATTGCTTACTTGATATGGTAAATGTCAGCATATTTCTGGTTCTAATTAATAGGTAATTTGTACATTTGAGGTGACTAGACGTTCTCATTTACAGAAATCTTAACCCCAAAATTACGTTTATTTTTTGTAATTCCCATGTCAGGGTTCATTTAAAGTTCTTATTGGAATTAAGTGAAGCTTTGGTTTTCTAACTGTTGATATTTCATCAGTGAATACGCAACACATCTGCAGACTGTACATGCTGTGTGATTCATATGTACTTTAATATTACACATAGTAGGCAGTATTCCTAACACATGCATTCCTCTCTTTTCTACCCAAAGTAATGCAGGGGTAGGTAAATAACTTTAATATTATTAACACTTTAATTCAGAATGACAGTGGTGAGTTGGAGTAAAGTTTTGTTTTTCGTATGAGTTGGAACCAATTGCTTAACTGTAGTGGAGTAACTGTGGTCAAGTCCGTGGAATGAAATGTAGTGTGTTAGGTGAAGAGTTAATGTGAAAGGAGGAATTAAAAAATACACTTCAGGTGAGGAACGTGATGTTGAAAAACATTAAGATAAAGTGAATACTATATTGGGGAAGAAATTATTTATTGAGCTTTGAGAGAAAAACAAATGATTGTTGGCTTCACGCAATGAAAGAAATTGGTCTTGTGAATCACAGACTGAGAAAAAGCCTTTTGGATATAAATATTTCAGCTTGATATTGCAGTACATTTAAGTCTATTTATTTTGTTTTTGAATTTGAATAGTACGGTTTGTTACCTTTTGATTGCCTGCTCTGTATTGTCTGATGTTTAATGCCATTAATGTATTTATGAAAATGTTTTTTCTGATCAACAATAGATCTGATCAATAGACCCTTTCACATTTTAAAGAAACAAAGATATCCTATTGTCACATGGTACTATATTCATGCTGCTAATACAAACCAGAATGAAACCAATGTCATGTTGGAATTACTAATGCCTTTATCGTTTTGCACCACACATAACGTCGTTTTAACTTGCAAGATGTGCAGTAAAACATCACACCTCATTTAAGGCAAGAGGCACGTTTCTTTCAGTATAAGTAATTTCTAACGTAAACGCTAATTTTGGATACGTGAGCAGCTTTTTCACAAGAACTGTTTTCAATTATCTGGTCCTTTGAAAGAAGACAACACTTACTGTAGCCACTTATTCCTGTTTTTAAGTTACAGTAAAAAAAAACGTTTGTCCAGCTGCTGTACATGTTTTTCTTTAAATACAGAGCTTTGTGTTCAGTAAATAAAACTGACTTATGAATACTGCTTTTTAGTGTTGTGGTTTATTTGTCCCCTTTTTTCAAAATACGGGTAAAGCCTTTTCTAGGTTAGGTTTTATTTAATTTTAATAATTACACAGCTTTATACAAAATCTGAATATGGTTAAGTAATCAGTAAAACACAAGATATGAAGAGCAACTCAGAATGTAAACTGAAGAAAAATATTTTAACGTTGTCTTATGTCCTAACACTGCAAGCTTATTAACACGGTTTATACCAATTTGTACCAATTGTATTTATTTTAAAGATGGCTCGTTTAATTTTTGAAAATGGACAAGTTTCTTTAGCCATTATGGATAATATTAACAGTTTTATCAAGAGCAGGACGGTATTGAGAAGTTTTATTGGTTAAAAACCACTTGTCTCTTAAGCGAGTACTAAGGCATTTTATCTTGGCGTAGTTTTCGTCTGCCTTCCAAGTTTAAGTCGCTTTCGAACATACTGCTCCTCCAAGCCGCCAGGTGTCGCTGCTCGTTTCTGTTTGAGTACTTCATCAGCCCCGATTCTTCCGGAGATAGCAGACACACGTGGGAGCAATGGCTGCTGACAGACTGCAGTTCCATGAAATGGGGCTAGATGATCGCCTTTTAAAGGTAGGTAAAGTTGTGTAACCGGCGAATCTTTACTACAGAAGAGTATGGGCCGCCTTATTCTTTTTTGGGTAGCGCTGTGAAGATCGGTTCTCATGCAAAGAAGCCAATTCTCATGTCCACGTCTCGTCTATCAGTAGTGTTGAGCTGCAAAGATTTCAGAATTGTAAGGAGGTGATAAAATATCTAAATGGTTATTTCTGTTTTGTTATGTAATTTAATCTTATTACAGACGTTAAATTGTTCAAGAATAGTTTGTAAATCTTCCAATCTCATTTTACAGTTACTGTTTAGGTGGTAAATTTGGGAATCCTTAAGTGTTGGGATTAATACATTTTAACCTGACCCTAAAAGTTGTCAATTCAAATGAACTGCCGCAAGAGGGTTTCTTTGTGCACAAATGCGTATTCTGTCTCAGCTTCCCTGTAATTTGACTCGTAACGTAAAAAACAACAAAATTTGAACTTTCTTACTTTGATGTTAACCAACACCCAGTTTCAAACAGTTTGTTCAGGGTTTACTTTTTAAAAGTGCTCCCACGACCCCCCAAAAAAATAGTGTTCATCATTCTTTGCTCCTAGTGTAGTTGTTGAGTCTAAAAAGGTAGAATCCCCCTCCCGTTTAGAATGAGTTCGTATGTTTGAATTGATCCTCTCAAACATACAAACATAGTTCTTTTCGAGGCCAGATTTAAGTTTAAGGTGGGCCGTCACTGAGTCTAGTGATTTCCCTTGTGTTTGCACGAGTGAAATTAGTATTGATTCTTATCACCACATCTGTTCAGATCCCAGAAGGAGGTCACGGAGTTCACGCAGTATACTTAGCAATGGCCACGAAAGTGTGTATACATTCTTAAAAACGTCAGTGTAAACATAACATAGGGAACAGTACAAATAATATATGCTGAGAAAAAAGGAAAATACAAATCACATTCTGATTTGTCATTTCAGTTCATAGCTGTGCATATGTGTCTCTAATACGTGTTTGTCCAACACAAACTTTTACAGCTTTTGTGTGTGTTTTGGATAATCTGCTAGGCAGCAGTACAACTGTGATAGCAGGTTGTTGTCTTGTTGTCACTGTGTGGTCACTGATACCATGAAACTGGGCTACATTCCTCACATTGATACCGGTGTAAGTGGTATGGGATATGGATTGTAGACCCTGTACATCTTCATGTCAGCCAGGTTTCAGGCTGTAGTGTTGTTCCTGTGTGGGGACTGGAGCTCCGATATGCGAGTGCTCTCTCCTAGGCGCTGGCAGACCTGGGCTGGGCCCAGCCCACCCTGATCCAGGAGAAGGCCATCCCCCTGGCTCTGGAAGGGAAAGACCTCCTGGCACGAGCCCGAACTGGCTCCGGCAAGACCGCCGCCTACGCCGTGCCCATCATTCAGCACATTCTCTCCGCAAAACAGGTAACCAGCAGCCCACTTGGCACTTGTGTTAGCCCTGGCCAAGACCTCAGTTGATTTCATGTTGCTGGGGAGTTTGAATTATGTGCAGGCGTGTGTCCATTTGGGATCAGGGTGAATTTAACATCACTTTATTAACCCTATACAATTTCTTGCATTAGGAATTAGTCTTTTCGCATACTCCAGCTTGCTCTCCATGAGACACACAGACAGGGAGAGATCCTGGGGTCAGAGCGCAGGGTCAGCCATTGTACAGCGCCCCTGGAGCAGCTGGGGTTAAGGGCTTTGCTCAGGGGCCCAACGGAGTAGGATTCCTCTGCTGGCCGCGGGATTTGAACCGGCAACCTTCCAGCCACAGGCGGAGATCCTGAGCCACAGAGCCACCGCTCCGCCCCCCCATTTCGGGAAGTGGCACCGACTTTTGTTCTCCCCAGAACAGGGACCATATGCCGGTTCCTGCTTTGCATGCGGGTGCTTCAGGTCTGCTTGTGTAGTGTGATGCCAGGGAGGCGGTTCTGCGCTGAGAGTAACATGGAGAGCCGGGCTGCCTCTGCTGTTTTGTGTGTGTCTGCGCAGACGGTGCAGGAGCAGGCGGTGAGGGCTCTGGTCCTCGTCCCCACCAAGGAGCTGGGCCAGCAGGCACAGACCATGATCCGCCAGCTCACCTCCTACTGCGCCCGGGACGTCAGGGTGGCAGATATCTCGGGCAAGGCCGACGTCTCTGCGCAGAAGTAAGAACCACAGGTGGTGGGGGGGGGTGGTAGGGGCAGAAGCTGTCAAAAACCGACAGCGTTTTTTGTAATGTGATAACGCTAAGTGCCAGCAGAGGCTTTTCTTTCCTCTTATTTGGACAGAGTCACCCCGGTGTATTGTGGAATGAAATGGCACTTGTGTGCACGCTACAACTTATTTTATTTTTATGTGCTTTTATTTGTTTTCATTTAAATTACAAGCCTGCCAATGTTTTCTAATTTGGAATCTTTACTACAAAATGCTAGAACTGAACATGTTAGGCCTAGACGCCCATAGTGTTTTAAACCATTTCATAACCTCTTTGATTTCAGAGGGGTATTTGAATTCTCCCCTGGTCTTGAGCCGAACAGTGACCTTAGTATTCCTGTGTCTGATGTTTTGGTTTCAAAAGTACATTGTCCATAAAGTCTCACGATTTTTAAGTACCACTTGGCTGTTAGTAGTGGTTCGCTCCGGGGGTCTGAGGTGAATCTGTGGGCCCCTGCAGCGTTAATCTCTGGGCTCTGTGTTTCAGGCCCATCCTGATGGAGAAGCCGGACATCGTGGTGGGCACTCCGTCACGGGTGCTGGCCCACCTACTGGCCCAGAACCTGACCCTGCGCAGCTCCCTGGAGATGCTGGTGATCGATGAGGCTGACCTGGTCTTTTCCTTTGGCTTTGAGAGTGACTTGAAAAGCCTGTTGTGGTGAGGTCCACTGTGCCGTCTGACTTGGCCACACACACACACACACACACACACACACACTGGCATCCAGCTGTTCAACCTGTCCAGGTGTTAGAACATTTATTTGTTCATTCCCATTCATAGCAGATCCACATTTCTTATTTTGTTCTTTGGTCAATGTACTAGCTTTCTTGAGTTAATACATTAAGACAAAGACTGTGGTGGCTGAGTAAATAATAAGTACACCATTCAGTTATTTACCTGACAGACTCTGAAAAGAAAAATATGGGAACCCTGGGACAAGGGACATGGCCTCTCCAGAACAAGGATTGGGATGCACTGAGATAATAGAGAAAACTGGAACTTTGATTTCTTCACTCATCAGTAATCAGTGTATCAGTTCTGATAAGATAAGTGACTTGCATCATTTAATCAGCACCTTTCATGCTGTATGTCACCTTTCATGTAGCCATGGGTAGATGCTGTTGGTAGTCATATGCATGTAGCTGTCAATGTGAGTTTGCAAAGGCAAGGCATTAGTATAAGTATGCATGAGGACGTTTCCAGGTGTGCTACCTGACTGTTGTTTTCATTGCCACTCTTTTTGCTACTCCTACAGCCATTTGCCCAAAATCTACCAGGCCTTCCTGATGTCTGCCACCTTCAATGAAGATGTCCAGGCGTTGAAAGAGCTGGTCCTACACAACCCTGTAAGACGGGACAGAGTTAGTGGGCAAGGGGCTTCTGCAGCTTGGCTCTAAATGACAAGATTCGATTGTCGCAATGGTGTTGCCATCAAGGAGATTTTTCTAGGAATCTGAGTTAGGTCATTTGAATAAAGAAAAACATAGTTATGCAATCCTGAATACCGGATATCAAATCTGATCTATTTTCTAGAAATACATCTAATTGTGCAAGAGTTTGCTTGTTTTTTACTCTTCTGTTGCCATTCCAAGATGCGAGTATAAATCTTGCTCATGTGCGCCTTTTGGCTGTGCTTTCCCAGGTGACTCTGAAGCTGCAGGGCTCCCAGCTGCCGGACAGCTCCCAGCTGACACAGTACAGCGTGCTCTGCGAGGAAGAAGACAAGTTCCTGCTCATCTACACCCTGCTGAAGCTGGGCCTGGTCCGGGGCAAGACCATCATCTTCGTCAGCGCCATCGACCGCTGCTACCGCCTCAAGCTCTTCCTGGAGCAGTTCAGCATCCCTGCGTGCGTGCTCAACTCCGAGCTGCCCATCCTGTCCAGGTGTGTGTGACCAGGCGCTCTTTTTTTCTTTAGGATTTCTATGTTTAAGTGATGTGACTTTAATGGGGTCAGATCCTCACTCTGCAGTGCTGGTTCAGTTAGGCTGTTGATATTGACTTAACTATTATTCAATATCCAAGACTTCAGAGCCTGGAGGGTTTAGGGATCATTTTGGTTTCAGTTTCTTCTGAGCACGTAATTCCTTAAGCCAGTCAGATATGGATTAATTGCTCTAGTTAACCTGCAGTATCAGGTCATTAGCCACTGGAGACTGTATAATCTAATCTGCAGAGTTATTATCCTCCACTGGCAGGAATGAATATAAATGACACAGCTGTCATTATCAGCAGAATGGCTGGTCTTGCTCTCTGGACTCCCTGCATGCTCTTATGTATCGAATGAGCTGAGTGGCTCCTGACACCTGTGCTGTGATTTTAACCGGTGTGTTCCTGGAGCTCTCCAGACTGACTGCCAGGACTCTCTCTCTAGGTGCCACATCATTGGCCAGTTTAACCAGGGCTTCTATGATTACGTCATCGCCACAGACGAACAGAACCTGGCGCAGCCCAGCAGCGCCCAGGAAGCAGAGGGCAGTAAGGGAAAGAAGAAAAAAAAGAGCTTTTGGAAAGAAGGGAGGTGAGTACAGGGCTGGGAGAGAACAGGAAGCAGGGGGTATTACTTTTCAGACAGGGTGGCTGAGAGAACCTGCTGTAAGCTTATTGAAAGGAAAACCACAGTTCCATTTGTTCCAAGAGGCAGACATCTCTCCTGTCCAGGCCGGTTTGTGGTGTTGCTAGGTGCCATATGGGGGCTTCGCACATTGAAGTCCAGTACAGCCATCTGCCTAGAACACTAGGTTAGATGCACTGTGCGTTACTTGTAGTGACCTTTGCAAGTTACGGGTTTTCAAAAATAGTCTTCTTTTGTTATTAATGCAATATGGGACTGAACAGACAACAAGGCAAACCGCAGGAAAGCAAATTAAGTTTATTTTAAGAGTGTCTCTGTGTTTTCCATTTTGTCTTCTGTCGATTCAGAGATTTCATGCCTGTTTTGCTCTTTCAGGCTTGTTTTCTTGGCACATGTGTGTTCTACCCTCTTTGGTCTTGGACCAGACTGAGCGGCAGCTCTTTTTGTTCTCACGGGACACTTCTGTTCTGCTTTCAGGGGAAAAGACAAGGAGTATGGTGTATCCAGGGGGGTCGACTTCCAGGATGTGGCCAATGTCATTAACTTTGACCTGCCCTCCTCCATCGATTCTTATATCCACCGTGTTGGCAGGTAAGGTCCTCTCCTTCCATTGATTCTCTGTGTGTGGCTGTGCATGGGGTAAAACACTCCCTCCACTGACTATTGCAGCTGTGTGGACTGTTTCATGAGTGACGCTTCGGCTAATTTGCTTCTCCAGTCTGCAGAGGAAGGCTGTACAGGAGTGGTTCACGGAACGTCAGTTAGTCTTCTCGTCCCCTGCAAGCCTTTATCAATAGCACAGGATAGGAATCTGGTAAGAATTTCAAATCCAGCAGAGAGAGCAGCCTCACCTGACCCTTCTCCCTGTTGGTTTCTGTCTGTGCCCCTGCAGGACAGCCAGAGCTGACAACCCTGGGACAGCCCTGAGCTTCGTCTCGCACGCGGAGCTGGGCCTGCTGGAGGAATTCCGGGACGGGCTCATGGGAGGTCAGCTCAGTTTGTCCATGTCTCCTTTTCTTCAGACTGTCATCCTGCATTCTGGGTCTCAGTAGAATTGTCAGATGTCACATGCATAGGATGCCAACAGAGACGGCTTCTTTTATTTTCTCTTAAAAAAACCCGAACGTTTGGAGGATTTGGGGGTGGCCCTGCAGACATTTTGCTCATTACGTACCGCATGCTGAGCTGTCTACAATAAGCTAATGTCTGGCTGACAGTAGAAGTGGATCTAAACTCCATCCCTGTTCTTGTCAGTGATGTCAAGGCCCCAGCATTAAGGCAGTTATGGTTCTGTCTTGTAATTAAAATAAAGACAGACATTAATATGTTTGTGCTGCGGTTAATCTTTGAATGACTTACAGTACCAGTCAAAAGTTTGAGTATACCTGCGTGAAACCAGGTTTTTCATGATTATCTGCGCTTTAAACTGTATAAACTTGTCTATAAACACTTAATATTTAATTACATGGTATGTGTTCTTAATCTTAAGTGAACTGCATTGAAAATGTTACGTTTTCATTTTCAATAAAGTGAACACCCAAAGCAAGCAGATTTCAGTCTGAAGCCCAGGTTAGTTAAAAGTCAGAAATGTGTATAACATGGTGTTGGAACACTAAAAGAAATTTAAAATTGTCTTTGTTAAATGTTCTTACAGTGAACTAGCATGTTATCTCACTCCTTTTGTCCTGACCTTTTGTCACCAGTTATTGGTAAACAGGTGAGGGTCCACGATTACTATAAATATAGAGAGCATGGGCAAATGTTTGTTATTCCTGAATGAACATGGCAAAATTTCCTCAGTTAAGCTAGGTAAAAAGACAGTGTATAATTACTTTAAGAAATGAAGGTCAACCTTTAAGACAAATTGCAAGAACTTTGCAAGTGTCAGTAACTGCTCTGGCCAAGACTATCAAACTATATAAAGAAACCGGCACTCATGAGATCCGAAAAGGTCAGGCAGGCCAAAGGTGACCTGAGAATCAGAGAATACGTTCATTAGAGTCACAAGTCTGCAAAACTGGCGACTAACTGCCCCTGAAATACAAGTTGAGCTCAATGCAACTAGAAGTACAGATGTTTCAACATCAACTGTTCAGAGGAGGTTGTGTGTACTCAATCTTTTAACTGGTATTGTACATAGGAATATTTGAAGGTTACAATTGAAAATGAGCCATTTGCCTCATCTGGGTAGTTGAGTGTCTAGTGGCTATATGACCCAAAGTTCTTATCCAGCGGGTTTCTCAAAATAAGTTTAGACTATTTACTTTAATAACATAACTGAATACCTTGATCCAGATTCCCATCATGCTTTGTCCTAAAAAGTGCTTGTAATGATTTAGTTTGCTTAGCCTGTGATTCCTTTAGGCCTAGAGATGTATCGGGGAACATATTTACACAAATCATCCACACAGGGTTAAAGCAAGGTTACCTATCTTTTCTTATTTCAATTTTTAATTAAAATAAAATTAAATGTTCAGATCGGAGATCCAAGGTACCATCAAGAATTATTGTGTCATTTTTTACCCAGTTAAGTAAATATCTCAAGGTAAACAATAGGATTGTCTCTGGTTTCAGACAATGCAGAATGTGCCCTAAAACCATATGGATTTAAGATGGAGGAGATTGAGGGCTTCAGGTACAGGTGTCGGGTAAGTGATTAATGCTCCTGTGTGCTGCAGGGGTCTCAAGCTCTGTTTCTGAGAGGCCTTGAGTCTAATGGCTTGTGTTCCAACCTGTGTAGTCATTTAAAGGATTAACTTATTTAATTTATACATATTCGAATTTTGTAAAGAAAATACCATCTTTAATGGAGTGTATGTTTTAAGCAATCTCCCCTTAAAGACCTTATTAGTATTTTAAATATTCCCTTCCCGATGCTGCCTTAAAAGTAGTACATTTATACAGTTTATTAAATAATTAGACTGAATGTGTAGCTGAGAACTCAAGCACAACAAAACACAGAAGACATTGGGCCCTTCAGGAATTGAGGGGGAGTCCTCTGGGAACGTGACAATGTTTTGATAGCAGATGGCTGTAAATGTTTTGGAAAGTGTTTTATCCTTGTTTACCTGGACTGATTCTTATCTACCGTTGAGGCATAGTGTCAAAGGCCATGGGCATGTGCTTGTTTTTATGTTCAAAATATAATTTTTACACTGTCATTTGCTGCACGGCAGAAAATGAAGGGGAATTTTAAAGACTAAGGTAAGAAGATGTGTAGAGGCTTTGGTATGGCCAGAGCGACTCAGGATGGTGGATGTGTGTTGCGATTGTGCCAGGGAGTTGTACGGTGGCTGAGTCTCTCTGGCTGTGTGTGCAGGACGCCATGAGGTCTGTCACCAAGCAGGCAGTGAAGGAGGCCCGTCTCAAGGAAATCAAACAGGAGCTGCTCAACTCTGAGAAACTCAAGGTAGGTGCCTCCTCATGGTGTATCACCTGCATGTATAGTTACTGCAAGCTTAGACTGGGGAAAATACAAACTCAAATTTACAAGGATTATTAAACCTTTATGAGCAAATAGAATCCAAATTTAGTCCTAATATGGCACCAGATCCTTCAGGATAGGAAAAGGCCCAACACTGAATTGCAGTTAGATATGTGGTGCAGAAATCAGCAACTACATAATCATGCTTTATAATCAAATTGAGCCAAATATTGAAAGCAGACAGATTTCAGAACTACAGAGTTATTCACACAGGCTCAGATGACCAAATTAATTGACACCACTTCTCTCAGATGAATAGTAAAGTAAACTTTTTTTTTTTGCTTTTGGATTCATCTGACTGTGTCTTTTCTTCAGACGTATTTTGAAGACAACCCCCGGGACCTGCAGATTCTCCGCCACGACCGGGATCTCCACCCAGCCCTCGTCAAGCCCCACCTGAAGAACGTGCCAGACTACCTGAGTGAGCGTCTCCACAGCTTCTGCTGTTGCAGAGCACGTTACTAATAGCATGGGGGCGCCCAGTGCACCTGTGTTGATTCTGAGCATTACACAGTACACCGCTGCCCATTTTCCCATTATCATCGCAAAGGTTACGATGACCTGGAGCCCATCCCAAAGGTGTAGGGTGAAGGGCGGAGCTGTACCTTGGATGGTATTAGCACACAAGAGCAATTGAGACACACCAGTTAACCTATCTAGCATGTCTTTGCAAAGCGGGTGGACTGGAGCACCTGCAGGGAATCCTTTCAAACAAAAGGAAGAATGTGAACAGAGAGGCGACCCGGCCCAGAATCAAACACAGGGCCCAATTGTGCAGACCACCGTGCCATTCACACACTAGGAAGTTAAGATTTCTAGTGTGAAATATATAAGACTCAGCAAGTAAAGGTTCTTACTCAGTGGGCCTGTGTGGTTTAAGCTGGGCACTGGACTTGTGACATGAGCTCATAGTTTTCCCCTGAGTGGGGATGCACAGTCGAGGGAGTCTTTGCCTCATTTGAGTGGACGTAGGCTGCTAAGGTAGCCTCAACTTTTATTTCAAATCCTGTTATTTGCTGGGCACCTGCAAGCCTGCAGTAATGTCAGTTATGCTCCCTTTTAAAACACTGTGGAGCTCACAACTAGTCACGTGGCAAATTGTTTCAGGCAGAGGATTGTCTCTGTAGGTCCTTCTCTTACTGCAGTTTTAACTGTAAAGCTGAGCTGCTAGAAATGTCACTCTGAGTGGTATAAAACAGAAAATTGTTGTTTAATCCAAATCGATTCTAAGTAATCATTAACAATGTGTACGCAGTTTAATTTTACAAACAAAAATGAATATCATGTACAGTGAATGAAAATGTAGGACAATCACTGTTTTAAAATATAGGAAAATAGGAAGGTGTAGGCCAAATCAGTAGGGTGTAGAATCTGGGAAGTCAGTCAGTGTTTTGTCAAGAGTGGTGAATGTGCTCACACCATTTCCATGTGCTTGATTTTTCAGTCCCTCCAACTCTGAAAAATGTGGCCAGCCCCCAGGTCAAGAGAAAGAGGAAGCGTGTGCGAGGAGCCAAAGCAGAGGGCGCCGTTTTGAAAAGCAAGTTCAAGGTGGGTGGTGCAGCGAGTGTTTCTGTCACGTCTGTCAGTTCGAAACAACGCTTAGCGGGGCGACTCGTAGTGGCGTCCACTCGTACCTGTCGACACGTTCTCGAGGAGCTCCCTGTCGCGGCCTGTAACCCGTCATTTCTTTCCACTGTCGTGGTTCCGCAGCCGCACAGAGGCCGGAACCCACTGAAGAACTTCCGCTACACCGCGAAAGGGGGAAAAACAAAGAACAGCCAGGGGCCGCAGTCATAAAAACCCACGAGACGACGGGGCCGTTGGGAGAGCTCGCCTTCCTGGGAGAGATCGGAAAGTGGAATTTGCGTATCTCCAGCAGTGCAGTGGGGATCAGACTGAACACACCATCTGACTGAAGAACTAACGCGAGACTCATGCCCCCAGATTTCTTGTCTCCCTGACATAATGCAGTCCTTCCTGCTCTACTAGCGGGCTTCCAGGAAGTTCTGAACTCATCCTGGGAAAGAGAATGTATTTGTGTGAGTCGGACTCATGTCTTCAGGCTTTGAGGATGCTTCAGCAGCCTGTGATAAAGGCAGTTCTGACATGGGCTGGTCACCTCCCTTCACTTGAACCTGTCCCCGCTGTTTAATATAGTTTGGGTCTGTGCCTGTTGTTGTAGGGCACATTTGGCCCAACAGACAGCCACCTTCAGAGTCTGTGTGCCGTGTACAGCAGTGTCTCCTGGTCCTGGAGTATTGTCCTCCAACTGAGCTCTTGATTAATTAAGCTTACTGATTTCTTAATTGTACAAGCTGATTGCATTTATAACTCTTTTCTACACTCGGGTCTGAGTTTCAGAAATATTCTTAATATATTATTTTCAAGAAAACCTAGCATGCAGATCTCTATTTTAACTTTTAAGTTCAATCTTTCAAGGTTTAAGATATCTGCTCTTCAGTAGCTGTCTAAACATTTACTATAATTGATTATTAATTAATGACGTACTTACACGGTTGAGACTGACACTGTGTCACATGCATTGAAGTGTTCTTTGTGATGTACAGAACAATTACTTTCCACCTTGAAAGGGTAAACTAAATGAAATGATTTGTAAAGCTCGGCTCCTCTTAGAGGATTAATACTTATTTCTAACCTTTCTTTCCTATTCAACGGCTGAAACTGATAAAAAGCAGGTTGATTAAAAAATAACTGGGCTTAATTAATCAATGACTCCAATAGAACAGAATGCAGGCTGTGGTGTCCTTCATGGCCATGATGGGGAAGTGCTGATTTACAGCAAGTTTACTTGCAGAGGGTGACAGGTGACACAGTTCTATTGTGTCCACAACCCTTCCAGGACTCTTGTATTTCATTTATCCTTTGTGAACTATATGACTGTATGAAGAAATAAAGTACATTTAGTCTTTAGCAGTCAAAATTATTTTTGCTTTATAGTCACATTTGTAATCATGAATGTGTCATGAATGCCAAGTTCACTGTATTTTATTTTTGGGTAGTTCCATGCATACATTTGACATATTACAGTACATGTTTACATATTAGAACAAAACCACATTTTGTCTTCAACCCAGTAATTTCAAGCAGTCTTGAGAATTGGGACACCTTCACGTTATATAAAGAGTGTAAACAACACTTCTCTTCTGTTGCATATCCCTTGGAGGCTCTAACTGCATGACATCCATGACTCACTGATCTTAGTTAACTCTATAATCATTTAAGATTCTTGATTGGATTGAGGTGTAGGCTTTCACAGTGCCACTCCAGAACAAAGATATTTTTCTTTCTAAATCACTCCAGTGTGGCTTTGGATGTATGTTTTATTTAGGTCATTGTCCTGCTGGAAGATGAATCTTCTCTCAAAGATCCATTTTTCCTTCTGTCTTCACAAGTCTTCCAGGCCCTGATGCAGCAACGCATCTCCGTAGCATTTTGCTGCCACCACCTTGCTTCACGGTAGGGATGGTGTTCTCAGGGTTATGGTCGCTGTTGCATTAAACATAACGCTTACTGTTGATGGTAAAATGGTCAATTTTGGTCTTATCGGACCATATAATCTTCTTCAACTCGGTCTCATAGTTTTCCACATGCCATCTGGCAAAGTATAGTCAAGATTTGACGCGAGTTTTTTTATCACTCCTCTATGAATCCCAAATTTGTGAAGCATCCAGGCAATTGGCATATGCACAGTTATTCCCATCTCAGCCATGGAAGACTTCAATGTCTTTATAGTTGTCACAGGCCCCTTGGTTGCCTTCTTGACGAATACTCTGCTTGTCTGGATACTCAGTTTTTAAGAGACCCTGTTCTTCACAGTTTCACAGTTGTGCCGTATTTTCTACATTTCTTTATAATGGACTTTACTGCCTTGGAAATTTTTTTTTCGATCCATTTTCATAGAGCCGTTTAACTTGACAAAATAGAAACTGTAGTAACCCTCTCCCAGATTTACTTTGAAAGTTTCTTTGTTTTAATGATGTTGTTGGGAGCTGGAGGAATGAACTGTGGAACCTCCCAGAGGTAGGTATATTAATCCTAAACCCATGTGAAACAGTAAAAGATGAAAAAGTCCAAGGGGGAGATAGTTTTGATAGTCACTGTTAAATGCACACTCAGTTGGATTTAAATCTGTGGATTGACTTGGCCATTGTCTTATTGGCCATATAGGTATGTTTTGGGTCGTTGTCATGCTGCATAGTTACCAAGAGCTACTAATAAGAATTTGTTTCCACATATGCAGACAAAATGTTTCTGAATACATCTGATTCAGTCTCATGCTGCTGTCATTACTTACATCAATACAAACAAGCGATTCTGCTCCCAAGTTGGACATGCAGGCCCCAGCCACAACGCTAATCCATCATTACCTTTGTTAGGCACTGTGCATTATGTGTCAGTTGTGTAATTTTTTCACTGTGAATGGAAGGGTTTGGCTGGGAAAGGCTCCCTTTCAGGAGCTGGTGATTACAGATTGGATTATAGAGTGGATTCAGCACCCCTGGTCCTGGAGAACCCCAGTTCATCAGGATCTACAGGTCAGTGATTTTCAACCATAGTCATGGAGTGCTGTGTCTTTTCATTCTCATGGGGATCTTTATCTATTAGGCAATCTGATCTCTAGTAGATTTAAGAGATGTTAAGAGTGTTTTTAGAAACTCAGTTTAAGTGGGGTTAGTGTGACCTGGATAAATGTGATATTTTCCATTGTTGGAAAGGCGCTTATTTCTGTGAGAATTGCTGTAATCCAGAGCTCACACCTTAAGCATATGGAATAAGGCAGACCTTATTCTGCCATATTCCTGAACAGAACAGCAGATCATTCATCGGCCATGGACAAACTGACAAGTTTGAGTCACCAAACAAATCTAACCAGTGTGCCTTTGAGGGGCAGGAGAAAACCAGAGCACCTGGTTAAATGTCAGGGGAACAGAGAGAGACAGTGCAAATCCCAACGCATGGACACCTGAGGCTGGGACTGGGAAATTATAACAGCAGTGCTAACCATCTGGTCCTTAAAAATGAGCCAGAGGAAGATGAGACACACTTCATTACCAGATGCTGTTTGCTCTCTAAAGGGGTGTTGAGAAACATTTCCTAGTGGGAAAGGGCAGGGAAGGTTTGCTGATCTTTTTTTAACTGCTGATCTGGTCTGCAGATTGTTTTGGTCAGGCCGTGTTCAGAGGAATTGGAAGAGTAAAGCACTTTGGGAGCTGCCAGGCACAGTCTCTGGGCATTACTAATCCCTGACTCAGACTAAGCTGGCTGCTTTCACTTGAGTCAATTACAAGGAAGGGCACAGTGTGATACAAACAAATTTTAACCTTTGGTTTAAAGACATTAAGGCTCATATTCACAGAACATTTATAGCCTCTTAATGAGTTTACAGGTTTTATAATACTTAGAGATTTTATTTCATTGCTTTTTCTTACTACCAGTAAATAGTTTCAGCAATTTATTTTGACATTAGCAATTTGGAGAGGTCTTTTTTTTAAATACTGTAACGTAAAGGAGTCAGAAATTGCTACATAAATGAGGCCATATGTTGGCTAATTCAAAAATCAGAAATAGGAACAGTGATAATAAAAAAGTGCTTTCCGTAGCAGTGAAAAATGGCTGAAACAGGATGCTATTTTGCTTTTTTGTCCTGTGAGCTGGCAGAAACTGGTGCATTGGGTGAGATTAGAATCCGAATGGGCAGGTGTTTGCGCTGACGGGAGGGAGTGGTGCTCAGATACGCACGGCAGTTTATTGCAGGGCTGTATCGTTTCAAAGCTGACTCACCACAAAAAAACTATTTCTTGTACATTGCTGATAATGTCTAGGGCTTTGTCAAAAGAAAAGAAACATATGAAAGGACAGTTATAGAGTTATACACATAGCATACACATAAACCAAGATATGCTTTCTCTCTTTGCTGATAGTCTGGTCCACTTCACAAAAAGCCCCTTATTTATCCATCTATCCATCCATCCATTTTCTAACTTTATTATGCAATACAGGGTCACGGGCGAGCCAGAGCCTATCCCAACAAGCAACAAGCACGAGGCAGGATACACCCTGGACAGTGCACCAGTCCATTGCAGGGCACAAACTTTCACCAGGGCGAGTAACGTCAGATGATAAGTTAATGTTAAATGATAGTTAGATTCCAGATTGTATGAAAGTAATGAAGCAGAGGGGATTACCAGGGCAGCTGGTGAGTTTCAGTTCCATTGCCTGCATTCACCCTTCAGCCTGTGACCACTGACCAACAGCTCGTCTAGTTCTCTTTAACACTTTAGGTATTGACCAAATAAATCTCAAGGCCTGAGTGATGAGAAGCTGATTTTCTACAGCCTAAGGTTTCTATTTTGTCAAGTTAAACGGCTCTATGAAAATGGATTTAACAATATTTCCATAATGATGTGCACACCAAGAGTGAAGGTGTGTGCAGTATTTGTGTCCTTTTGTGGACTACCTCCAAACTAAGCAGGCTTTTGGTTCATATGCTTTAGAGTAAAGATGGTGAATTATAGCTGATAAGTGGAAGAGTGCAGATATCATAACACTGGGGTCTCTCACTATTCCCCTCTTGATAATGACCACACTGTGATCTGTGTCTCTTTCCTTTCACAGACATTCAAAGACAAGTGTGCTGGAAAGGCATCATAAGCCAAAATCATTAGACTGCACTCATTTCTTTTTAAGATCACCATTCATTTACAGAGTGCTGCCCTTCACTCCTCCCCTGTAATCCAACCATCACATTTCCAAAAAATTATCCCCATTCCCTCCTCTTTTCTCATTTGCATGTCTCCCCCCCACCTCCTCCTCTCTTCACACTCTCTCCTGTCCACACCTGAAGCAGAAACGTAGTGTTTTACTCTTTCGACTCGATATCCTCCTCTGGTTCCTTTGCGGATCACATGTGAACAGTGACACAGGTCCCCTCTCTGACTTTTGTGTTCTTTGTATACCCACCAAAAAATGGTTCATGAACAATGTAGGTCATATATAGTGGCACTACATTGGCTTTTTCAGAAGAAGTGTTATTTTGCTGTACCAGCATCAATGGAGTACATTTCTTGCACATCTTGCACATCGATTTTGGAAGCGTTCCCTGTATAGATATATCTCAACAAGGAAATGAACCTCAGCAGACTCTGTACCTCTCAAGGCCACACAGGAGAGAGGGAGTGTAGATCATTAATGTTAATGAATGCTGTGTGCCCTTTATTACTAATGTCGTACAGCTCAATCATATTAATTGTATCTGCTTATGAATTCTAAGAAAAGAGGTTGACAAAAAAATAGAAAAGCCTGTTTTGAGCTTTTCTTTCAACACTCCTTTTTAGTTTACTGTCACGGAAGGGAAGACATTAATGTCCATTTTTAAAAAAAATCCACGTGTGTCAATTTTAAAATCTATTCTGAAGTCTTTTAACAATGATTGTAGTAATTATTAAAAATGTAGAATTCCTAACTTCTGAACACTGAATACTGAATACTTTAATGTCAATTTTAGCTGCTTTGTGAAATCCCACCCCAATCAGTGGGTCTGCGCAGTACTCTTTTTCCTTTAGAATGAGTGAAGCTCATCAAATATAGCTCCTCAGGTATTAATGAGTTGAAAGTACAAAGATAGTTAATATTTTTTTAAAACAAAATAAAACTCCAGTTTACATAAACAGAAGTGCTTCACATTATTTTAAATTAGAGTTACATAAAAAAGAATACAGAATATCAATCTTTGGATTGCCACAATGATTTTATTTTAAATCTCTCTGTTTTCTCTAAATGTTTGTCTTTTTCTTCACAGGAAATGTCTGATCCAAATCGCAGCTACTGTAGTCTTCTGTGTCTTCCAAAGCTTTGTAAGGAGGCATTTGGTATTAAAAGGACAATGGGTCATATGATAATGGGTCAACAGTTAATTTGATACAATAAAACATAAGATTTTCTCATTTGGACAAAATTAAAAAAAAGCATTTAGTACAACAATGCAAAGATCATACATGAATAAATCTGTAATTGTTTTTATTAAAGGTTCAGACCTCTTGTTTTAAGAGAAGGCAGGATGAAATCCTCTCCAATTTACATTCTAACAAGCTGTTTTTAACATGTTTTTGAATTACTTGGAATTGTTCATGAATGCATCGCCCAGGTAAATCATGGACTACCTGTATTTCTTGTTCAAAAACACAAAGGATTCTTTTGTTAATACATGTCTTTTAAAAAAACAATTTCATTTTCAGCATTTGAGCAGTTAATGTAAAACCCTGGATAATGAAAGAAAAAAGTATTAGAAAGTGGGTACATGTACAAATTTTCTAGAAGTAGGTAAAATATCAAAAGCGAAGAATATTCTGAAAACAGCCTTGAATAGTAATCAAAATAAATACATTTTAAGACATTTACAGAGGAGGATCCACATTTTGAGCCTTAATCATTGTGAGCCGAGGCACCTGGGTAAAGTATTGATTTTGTGCTCTTGTTGTGACAGTCTGACTGAGGGAAGTAAGAAAGCTTAAAATATTTACTATCCTTTTCTAATACTATAGATAACCACAGACTATCAGCTAAATGATACATTTGTACATGATAAGAGCTCTTCAACACCCCATGCAGAAATGGAGTAAAGGTGTTTCGTGGGAACACAAATGCTGCAAAGTTGTTCTTGTCTAATCAGAAATCTGCTAGTCCTCATGGTGGTTATCAAGGTGAATACTGTAGGTTTCAAGGGCAAAATCAATCGATTGCCAAATCTTCCTGCTTGCAAGCTTGTACAACTGTTTGTTGGCTGTATGTTGCTAGTCTGGCACTGACCCAGATGAGATTTCCTATCTTTTGTTCTGACCCTGAGATTGATATTCGACTTCAATGGCAGAGCACAAGCAGCTTTTGTGATCTGTATAAGAGAGCCCAAGTGAAAACTCGGATGCATTTAAACATATCGGGACTTAACAAATCGACTGTTTTAGTTTCGTAGCCTGCAAGTGAGAGGACTGAATTTGATCAGTCTCATTTTTTTTTTTGTTTTCTTGATTTTCAACACAGCACTGACCTGGAGAATGCCGCGTCTGCAAGACAGACTGAGGAATCTTCTTGCTAGGTTCAGGAGAAGGCAAGCCGGCAGGCATGGTGCTCTGGGCTGACTGGCAGTATAGAGGAGAAGCTACTCAGCCAGGCAGGTCAGCGAGATTGCTGATGACGCCATCCACTGCCATGTAGTAACTGGGGTTCCATGCACAGAGATGAAATCTCAAAGGCAGGGTGTCGGACTGTGGACAGGACAGAGCTTAAGTATCCAGTGCTGATGAGGCAATTACTCGTTGAGAGGGGGACAGGTGGCACAAACAGCCACTCTGATCGCGTTCTCACGTCACCGGGGGCTGTATGACACCACATGTGAACACGGCTTTGTGCCGTGGACACCGCGGGCACTGAGCTCTGGCTTGCCCAGGCGTAACAATCCATTGATGATTCAAGGGCCTTTCCAAAGTGTTTCGCCAATGAACCCAATAGTAATGTTATCAGGCGGTTCTAAACATTTGCGACTTGTTTAGTTGTCATGTTATTTCAAACCATTGATATCGTGTTCTGAAT